TGTTGAAAATACACTTGACTGTATAGTCAGTGATATTTGTGGCCCTATGCAACATTCACGGATGTTTATTCAAAATGTACGGCAATATATCTTTTGAAGGTAAAGAGCGAAGTACAGTCTAAAGTCATAGAATATTTTGAACTGTTGAAAAATACATTCGGTCGAAAAGTTAATATGTTCCGTAAGGATCGAGGGACAGAATATTTAAGTGAGGAAGTTCAGAAGTATTTACGTTTTGAGGGAATTCGATTTCAATGTACTGTGGCTTACTCATCAGAGCAAAACGGTATTTCCGAGAGAAAGAATAGGACTTTAGTTGAGGCATGTAGGACCATGCTTACTGAGTCAGGGATGTCAAGAGAGTACTGGGATGAAGCCATAATGAATGCGAATTACTGATTGAATCGTGATTTGAGCAAAGATGATCTAAAGTCTCTATATGAAAAGTTCTTTGACAAGAAGCCAGATTTCTCAAATTTTAAAGAATTTGGAGTTGGTACTTATGCGATGATTCCTCATCAAAAGAGAAAGAAGCTAGACCACAAGGCAGAAAAGTTGGCATTTGTTGGATATGACAGATGGTCGAAAGGGTATCGACTTGCAAATGTAAAACAGCGGAAGATAATTGTGTCACATGATATTGTGTTTTTGAAAGAAAAGTTCATGAGGATCAGTCAGAATTCATCTCATGAAATGAACAATAGCAGCAGTGATTTGGTGCCGTTTCCATTTTCGACTGATGTAAGGAATGATGTTCAAAGAATGAATTGTTCTTTGATGCTGGGGACTCACAAGATGAATATGAGGTAGAAGATCATTTAGATGATGAAGATATAGATCAAGAACAAAATGAGCATGACGTTTTTCAGGAAGATCAAAGAGAAGATATTTTTGTTGATCATAATTTAATAAGTGATCAGAATGTGTCGGTTCAGGAGGAGAATGAATAAGATCGTGAAGTTAGAACATCGAGCAGAAGAAACAAAGGACAAAAACCTGACCGATTTGGTGATTTTGACACATATTCTTCAAGAATTGATTTTGAGCCTAAGACATTCAAACAAGCTATGAATTGTTTTGATGTCAGTAAGTGGAATATAGCTATGGAAGAAGAGATTAAGTCAATTAATCAAAACAAAACTTGGGATCTTAACAGTTGCCTAAAAATAAACGTGCCATTGGCTGTAAATGGGTTTATAAGCTTAAAAGAGATGAGAATGGCCAGGTGTATTCTTACAAGGCAAGACTAGTTGCTCAAGGATTTTCATTCGTAAACTGTTGTATGTTAGTACGAATACAAGACCTGATATAGCTGCATCTGTTGGAATATTGAGTCAAAAGATTTCAAAACCAACAAAGACCGATTTGATAGAAGCGAAGAGAATTATTCGCTATCTAAATGGAAGCAAGAATCTAAGTTTGAAGTTGAGTGACAAGAAGAAAGTTGGGAAATTGGAAGTTTGTTCTGATGCAAGCTGGGCTGAAGATTCATTTGACCGAAAATCTATCAGTGGTTTTCTTTGTGGAATTAATGTAGGTATTGTTTCATGGTGCAGCAGAAAACAAGACGTAGTATCGTTATCATCCATGGAAGCTGAATACATTGCACTCTCAGAAATTTGCAAAGAGCTGAAATGGGTTAAAATGCTGACCGATTCTTTTTCTGAGTTTGTCGTTCCAGATAAAACTACTCTGTATACAGACAGTCAAAGTAGTATGAAGCTAATATCCAATCAGAAATTTAGCAACAGAAGCAAGCACATCGATACTAAATTTCACTATGTGAAGCAATTGGTTGATTTAGGAGAGATTGAACTGAAATATTGCAGCACTGATGTGAATATAGCTGATATGATGACGAAGCAACTTGGAAATATTAAACTGAAGAAATTTACTGACGATTGTGGACTGCGTTAGTAATATTAACATAGTATATATGCGAAGTTAATATTAAGGAGGAGTGTTGAATTATTATATTACATTGATGTTGATCGTAGGAATCTGAATATTATTATTGAAAAGTTATTATTGAGAAAAAGGATTATTTCAAGTTAAAATTACATTTTTGTTATTAGAGAGGATTAAAATAAAGTATACTATTTTTACATTATCTAAGAACTTTATATAATTTTATTACACTTGCTATACTCTTACTATACTGACTATACTTTTACAACACTTTACTACACTTGATACACTTTTACTACACTTTGCTACATTCAACTATACTTTGGATAACTTTGCTTCACTTTACAATATTTAACTACACTTTGCTCATATTAACTTAATTTTACGCAATAGTTTGTATACGTTACTGCATAATGCTCACTCACGGCTATACTATTTTTGGAGTTCTATGGCCTTGTGAAAAATTAAATATGCTTGCTGCAATAATGGGTTGAAAGTAATAAAAGTTTTACCTATTGTATTATCAATTATTTTTATTACTCGCAAGAAAAAGCCACCTGAAAAGTATTTAAACTATTTTATGCATTTAATTAATTCAAGTTGCAATGATATGGAGATATCGTTAAAGAACTTAGAACTTAAAGAAACAATTTTATAGCTTTAACGTTTAAAATGAAGTTTTTAATTTTGACGCACTAGAGTATTGAATATTGAATAGTAATTATAATTAAAAAAAAGCATCAAGATATCAGAACTTGAACATGATTTGATACACATATACACTCGAAATGCTTGGAATTTTCGGGGTTTTTGTAGAAAAACTGGGATTTTTTAATATAAAATAGTGTTTTAACCAAATTTAAATAATTATTTTTCATGATGTACAGGAGGGAATGTTCACTTTCATTGAATTGCTACTTTAATACTGATCGCTGCTTCAAATTGCGCTAAAGTCACTCGATAAACTTCTATCCTTTTGATAACAATAATTTGTCGATATATTAGATTTTTAACAATGTTTACAGCATAAATTAGTAAAACTGTTAACTTTCTTTTGTTCATGGAATCACCCTAATGTTCTTCAGTATGTTAACTTGCAGTTTTTGAAATTTGCTTTCCTGTTTAAAAAGCATTCTTGATTTTTCATCTACTCTTTTTATGTTCATTTGCTGTAAACGTTAAGAATATGTAGTTAGAAAATATCATGAAGAATTATCAGCAGAAGAAGAGACCAAAACGAGAGAGATAATTACGGTTTAAACAACATGCTGCATCGTGAAGAAAAGAAAACAAAACAAACAAAGCATTTAAATAGATGGTCGGATGGTAAAATAAGAGACCAGAAAGAATGAATAATAAAAAAGAAAACAAGAATGTGATGTATCATTAAATAAGAACAAACAAGTTTTTTAAATTAATCCTTCGAGTAGAGATGCCAGTTACAAATAATAAATATTTGAGTATTTAGTTTGTCAGGTTAAAAAAGTTTGGATACCAAATAAAATGAGACCTTACACTCATGAAAACGGTGCCATTATTATAATTTTAATACAAAGCTACAATGCATAGTTTAATGACGTCTTGAATGCAAAGAAAAAATTTTTGTGATTAATTTTAATTTTTCATATCCACACCGCATCCAAGTGACAATTTTTTTTTTTTTTTTTTTGTTGAGATTGTATAATCATTTTTTATACAAAGTAAGTAAACATTGGAGACACATTTTCCAGACAAAATTCCTTTAATACTACTTTTCCGTATAATTTTTTTTTTCGTGCAATACATTGATGTAGTAAATATTATTTTTATTGCATTATCAATTCTAGTGGCGACACGAAGTAAAAATGAAAATATTACTTGAGACAATTTTTTCTTCATATATTAATTAACAAAACTGTTTTATTCATCATTTGGCGAAATAGATTCTTTTTTGTTTCTAGGAGGGTTTTTAACTAGTCTAAACTAGTCTACATAGGTCTAGATAACAAATATAATTTTAACGGTCGAACGCTGATACTAGTAACAAAAAATAAAACATGATAACACTTTGATTAAGATAATACAATACTTAAAATTAAACCTTATAGTTCTTAATATATTTAAAAAGTTTATAATTGTATAGTTCTCGAATGAATAGTATGCACTAGGTCTTAAAGTTAAAATCAAAATTAATAAAAACGATAAATTTTATAGCAAACACTTTTTTTTTTATTATAATAAGTTTTTTTTAATGCAGACACTCTCGTCATGTTCATCATCATGTCATGACCTTTATTTATTGTTTAGATGGCGCCTCCTAATTTTATTTATGAGTAAAGAAAAAATTTGGAATGTAAAAAAATTCTGTTATGAAAATATTTAAAAGTACAAAACTTATATAGAAGCTAACTTCAGGACGATTAAAATTATTTAAAATATTATTTTAACCTTATTAAAGCTCATTTCCAATGCTTTACACAAAATATATGATTAAAATCTATAATAAAATTTTAACATAATTATGAAATCTAAAAAATTTGTCCAATTTTGAAGCAATTTTAAAATATCATTACCGTTTCAGTGTATTTGTTTTATACTCAGTTCTCTGTAATATTTATCTCTCTTACTCAATTTTCTCTCACAAAACTGTGTATACTGTCATTTACATTTTTTTAAAACTTCACTATACATTCAGAAGAAAAATAACTCTCAACGTGAACATATCGTGAAATTTTTTTTAAGTCTTTTTTTTTTAAACAGTGAATTATTTTTCATAATAATTATTAAATTTTAAAAAATAATACTACATATCGTGAAAATGAAATAAAAACAATAAAATTTAAAGAGAAATATATTAAATAGTTTAATATTCATATAAAAAAAAGCAAATAATATAGAATCTTTTTGTGCCTTTAATATCAAAAAAAAATTTTTTTTTTTGATTAAAAGATTGGATTTATTTGATAAAAAAGTGTATTAAATCATTGAATAAAAGAGAAAAGTTGAAAAAAATCTAGTCGAATGTTTTTTAAAAATAAAAACAAATTAGTAAAAAATAAGATTTTTATTAATATGGTTAATTTGAAATTGTAAAAGAAAAAGTTTATTTCAAAAAAATAAAACATTGGTTTCTTAATTTATGAAATTCAAAAAAATGAATGAGATATGAAAGCAAAAGAAAAGTCAAAGAATAGTTCTTGTGTTTGTGAAATTAACAAAGAAAAAAGGAGTGAGTTCAAATAAAAACACAAAAGTGGATAACCTAATTTTTGAAAACATTAATAATGTTAACCAGCATTCCTACATACCGTTAATAACAAAAAGTGATAATGAAAATACACTAAATCAATGCTATCAATGTATGATTTGCCAACCCATGTTCTTCAGCAAAAAGTCCAGTTTAAGGAAACGGCTATGGCGATCGCGTATAACTTCAACAACAAATTCAACGCAACAGCATCGCTCAGAAATGCCGAATTACTTCAAAAATTATCAAAATTTTTCAAAAGAAACAAACCCAGAGGATTATCAGCATACAATCCTACGAGAAAATTTGAATGGTCATCAAAATTATGGAATCGTAAGAGAAGAAGGAAGCTCTTTACTATCCACAACAACTGCTGTACTGAGAAATTGTTGTACAAGCACGAATTCCACAAGTACAAACGATTTGTACGATCCATCAATGGCAACGGCAGAACAGCAAGCATTACGCTTGTTTCGTTTATTAATGAATCAATTAAAAAAGGAATCACAGTTAGAAACATTGTGCCAAGCCGTAGAAAATGGATTACAAGCAGACAATAATAAAACACTTCCCCATCAATATCAACGTACTGATTGTGTTCTTGTGCCACGTGGTTCAATTGATGGCGAGGAGCCACAGTTAATAGCTTGTAGATTATGGCGTTGGAATGATTTGTATGATTGTCAGACAATTAAAAGAATTCCTAGCTGTCCAAATGAAAAAGACCCCGTTTACGTGTGTTGCAATCCGACACATTGGAGTCGCATTTATCATTTAGGTAATTTTTAATATAAATCGTCATCTCTACTGTCAAAACAATGAGTTTTAGAGCATAAAATTATACATTTAAATTGATAAGACAAGAAAAAATTATAAATATAATACTTATTGAACACTTAAAGGAGAGGTACAATTTGTATCAATCATGTATAATTCCAATTAAAATTTATAAAAATTTCAATCACATTAAATATTCAACTTTTTATGAGAATAAAGAAGGAAATTATGTAGACAAGAATGTGAATCCTTTTTGCTTAGCTCATTTCACCTTTTCATTATTTTTTTTAAAAATAAAATTCCGAATGAAAAACATGAAATAATTACACTGTTATTTATTAACAGATTATTTATTTTTAATCTATTTTAACTGTGTATATTATGATGGCGCCTCAAACGAAAAAAATAAAGACTAACACGATGAAAACTAAAGAGAGGAAAAATATCGAATGATGTATATTTATAGGCCACGAGCGTGCACTTGTGTCGGAGAACACATATTCAGTTTTCTGCTTTATTCTTTCTTTTTTTTCTTCTCCGTAAACCTTCTACATAAAGCGTTTTGTTTTTTCCTCGAAGAATATATTTATGTCTGTCCATATAGATGTAATTTAGACAAAATCATTCATTTTATTTTGTATGGTATTCTGTCGGTATCGGTTTTATTATTATTATTTTTTGTCATGTTGATAATTTTTACATCATCAAGTAGAAAATTTTAAAAAAATTATTTAATGAAATTACGGGTAATCACAAATGAAGATCACATTTGTACACTTTTGTTTAAGGATCCCGAGACAGGTCCCTTGGTGCAAAATTAAAAATCAGAATATTTTATTTAAAAATTTTTTTTTTGACATCAAAAGTTCTCCAATTTGACAGAACCCACCTAATTCAATGTTATTTCCGTTATTTCAAAAAATATTTAAGTCAGAACACTATAACAGAACAAACTTCCATTCTATGCTCAATATCAGTAACATTCATAATTATTCAACTTAGAAAAAGCTTTAAAATCTTTCCTGATGACAAAAAAACATATTTGGAATCGAGTGTTTTCAAAATAGGATAAAGTTTTAATTTTTGTATAAAATTACATTTATACTTCGTCAAACCAAAAACGAATTAAGTTTCAGACATAAAGTTCTAAAGTTTTTCATTCAATCTTAAGGAGCAAAAAATTTAAAAAATGTATCACGCAATCAGCAATCAATAAAGATAGTAAAAAAATGTTTAAACAAAATTTGGCACTGACTGTTCCTAAACATGAAACTGGTGTAATCAGAAATTATAGTATTTTTTTGATACGCTTCATATGGCGTAACAAAGAATAGTCATTACGTTAAATACAACAACAATTACGTTCCTTCTTAAAATTTAAATCACCAAATATTTGCATTGAATAGGCTGAGATTTATCAAACCCCAGAATTTGTTTAAATTAAATATAAATTTCCATGGTTTTTCGGAACCGAAATCCAAAAATTATTAATGCTTGTATTTTAAAGGTTTCAAAGTTTTTGAAAGAAAATTTAATTTTAAATTGTTTACTATTAGGTTTCTCATCATTTAAATACAAAAATATTAAAAATCTTTCATTGGCACAAAAGATATTCAAGTTTACAGAAAGCGTATTTTGCGATTTTCTCAGTAATGCCTTAACCAATTTGCTTCGTTTTCTCACAAAACGCGAAAAACTGATTTTTCAATCTGAACAAAACCAATAGATTCACACGTGAAAACGGTTTGAATATAAAATAAAACCGTTCAACTCGTGAAACAAAAATAAAATTTTATAATGAAAATCCAGAGAGTGGCAATGTCAAAATCCAATTCTTTGACATTAGATTGTTGAACAATATAAACATGTTCGGAGATATTATAATAGATAATTTTGATGAAAAAAATATTTTCACTAATTTCATGGATTTATCGCTTTAAAAGCAACGTTTAAGATTCTAACAGCATAAGCATTTTAATTAAAATCACATGGAAATTTAAAGAATCCCAAATTTTGAATGTAGACAAACTCAAAAATTGTAATGATCATTAATTATTGATTTTTTGCTATCTTTTGAGCTTATTAGAATCCTTTTTCTCTTATTTTTCAGAAAATGACAATAGTATTTTAAGAAATAAAGTAATTTAAGTAAAATCAACAATTTTTCAAGTGGCTAATTTGACATTGCCTCTATGAAAATCTTTTGAAATCTGAATGAAAATTTTGATATTTTCATAAAATTTCGAATTCTTTAATAAAAGATTTTGTTTAATCGTAGATTTTGAGTTTCCTCACTTTGATTTTAACTGACAATCTTAAAAAGTCTCAATTTTAATTTAAAACTCATACTTTGATTTGAATTGTTTGAATAAACAAAGAAATTATGGAAAAACACTTTTCAAATCTACTCGAATCTAGGACCCATAGTACAAGACAACGAAATTTTTTTCCGTTATTCTTTCAAAAAATTTCAATTTCTCGCACTTTTTAATGAGTTTGTCAAAATTGCTTTATTAGATGTCTAGTAATTTTAAAACCATTTAAGAAACTAAAACACACGAAATAAAGTTTAAATTCGTGGAATAGATTTTAATTCAAAATGTAAACAAATTATTTTTCCGATTTCGAAGAATAAATTGCCAAATATCAAAAAATGAGGGACCGTTGTCCTACGTTGGCATATTTTTATCTAGTTTATAAGATTAAGTTTTGAATACAATATTGTAAAATTGTTGAAAATTACACAATTCAGTTCAAAAATTGTGAAATCTTAAATACCTTTTTGTATGAGGAACTTGATCAAATTGATACTTATATTTTTAGAAAAAAATTCTAGTAGATAGTAAATTAACCCACATGTAAAATAAAGTTTAAATTTGACAATTTTATAAAAAGCAATTGAATATGTTACAACTTTTTTTACCTGATCAATATTTTGTTGCAAATGGTGAAAATTTATTTATTGTAATGTTATTTAATGTTTTGCACAAAAGAACAATAAGTCCACTAATAAATATAGGTGGAATAAATATCTCACTGTAAGGTAATAAATCCACTTACGATTTCAAGTGATCTTATTACCTCGTAGTGAGATATTAAAGACGAATTCTTAAAAATGTTGCGGATTTATTAACTTCAAGTGAAGACAAAAATCCCACATACAAATGAAAGTGATTTTTTTACCCGTGCGTGAAAATAATTATTTCACCTTAAATTTTAATTTTGTCTAAGTGGACTTATTGTCTTGCAGTGAAAATATTAAGACCACTTGAAAAATTAAAATTTTATAAGTGACCTTATTGTCTCTTCGTGATTTTTCATTTTTCGGGTTTATTATCCTCTAGTGTTGTGGACTTATTATTTTTCGGTGCAATTGTCTAGCTCCATTCGATTGGTCCTATAAATTTCGGAAAAGTGGAAAATCGGGAAGGAATCCTAATTATAGAGAGTTTTTCAAATTAAAAGTTCTTAATGAATATTTTAAACTAATATAAATTTACATATCTTAAAGTGTAAAATTATTACTTGTTTTCATTCGTCTACCTTTAACTTCATTGATTCTGTTGTATTGTTTCATTACGAATACTTTTGATTAAGTATTAATTTGATAAAAAGAGTTCAATTATCATTAGTCGGTATATATGAGTAAATATAAAAGGGACTGAGATTAATTGTAATTATTCAATATCAAATATTTTTGTTTCTTTTTATTTTATCTATTTTTTTAAGCGCATTTTTAAAAATTCGTTTTCTAAAAAGGAGCTTAATAAAAAATACTGACCGTTGCTATAAAAATGCGCTAACATCCTTCGATCAATAATACGAGGACTTTTGTAATTTTTTTATTAATAATTACACATTTCTTAACGTTTCTTATAAAATTCTTTTTATTTGCATTTTTACTTTACATAAGAATAAAATTCACATCATCATACGGTGTGGTTTATAAAAGAATTTACATAATGAGATCATTCGCTGTTTTTATTTTATTTTGGCCAAGAATGTGTTTTTACTTCTTCTTTGAGAATCGTTAATTTCCATGTGGATAAATTAGAAGCTTATAAAAAATGTTAATCTTCTTAATTAATATAAGTCGTGTTATAGACGAAAGATGGTGATGTTAAAACTAAAAAATGTGGTTTCAAAACTTGTGTTAGTGAACTCAAAACTTTTAAAAATTATTTACGAAGGTATTCAACCTATGATGTCAAAAGAAATGTTTAGAAAAAAAAATTTGCTTTTAAATATGTTATAGACACTTTTATGAGATTTTAATTTTTAAATTTTCTTTAAGGCTCGCTTAATTATTACGTTACCCTAAAATACGACTTTTCAGACCCCCTTCACTTACAAAACTTGTATAAAGTTTTAAATATTATAAAATCCTAGATCCCCTTAAAATTTGAAATAAAAATATTAATTATTATTTTCTTTTATTTTGCAGAAACTCCACCTCCTCCATACGCTATGAAAATTGATGGTAAGTTAGTGATACGATTAATATTGAAAATTTATTAAATCCGTTCTCATTATAAACTAAATAAACAACCATTTTTGACACAAACATTTTGAGTTCAAATTTTGGGGTTCTGTAAAATCGTAATTCTTTTGAAACATTTTAAAACAATGATCTTCAGATTGGAAGGGAGACAATACTAGCAATAAAATAAATATAAATATTCTCCAGCAATAAAAGTGAAAAAAAAAAACTTATTTCAGACTTTTTGTGCTTATTATTTCCTGTGAATATGTTTCTATCAATTCAATCAAAAATGTAAATGCTTTGAATTGAGTCTCATAAAAGTTTTAAAAAAATCAAAGCAAATCTTAAAAAAAAAATTATATTCACTGCGCCACCAAAAACATGTTAGCAAAAGATTTCAATCAAGAAAAAAAAATTCAAATTCATAATTTAATATGATCTGTTATTTACCAATTTATATAAATCCATTTATATACATAACAGAATAAAAAAAAATCGACAACAAATATGTAAATAAATAAAATTCCAAAATTAGACTCGGCACAGATGATGTAATTCATGATGCCAAACACCTGGAAAAAAATCAAACAAAAAGATAAAAACACGAGTTATCAATTCAAATTTATAAAACAGCCAAATCGCGTAAACATCAATGAATATTTCTTTTGTCTTTTTATCTATACATAAGCAAATTTTGGTACATAATTATTACTCACATTTTTAAAGAAAAGGGTGTTAATGAGTAACTATTTGGTAAAAATAATTTCATTTGTCCTTTTTCACTAAAGTGGATAATCCTCATTTTAGTCTATAGTAGTATTAATCTGATGATATTTTCATTCATAAGTCTCTTTTCATCAATAGTTCTTATCTTTATTTACTGATATTAAAAAGTTTTTTTTATATGCTATATTGCAGAAAATTCAATGGATCCAGACATGTTTGGGGTATATAACAAGCAGCAAATTGAATCATTAACAACTGATGGTGACGGTGAGTTCAAGTTTTATAAAATAAAACCTGTACAGATATAAAAATTGATGAAATGCAAAAAGCCATCACAAAAAGGATTTTGGTGGTAGCAAAAAAATATAATGTTAGCTTTTATATTCTATTTATTGAACACAATTTAGCAAATACACATATAAACTTTATATTTTACCAACATAAAAGCTTTTGGTTGTATTTTTTCTTCTTCTAAACTCTAATAATTTTAGATAAGGCACAGGATTGTTAAAACAAAAATCGTACTTTTTTAAAATTTACATTATAATTAATATAGATTTTTATTGCAGTATTAAAACGTTCCTTTTTTAACACTTGACGCCACTGAAATTAGAATTTAAATTTTTCAAGCAAATGAGCAAAAGAAAAATTCTTTTGCACATAAAGAAAATAAAACTATATTTTCAGTTCGGGGTATATGTACAAATGAAAAGAAAAAAAAATAAAGATTATGAAGGCCATGCGACGATTAAGTCTGATGACGTTTTAACGTTTGGCGCCTATAGTATTTCTGTTCAAACACTTGAAATATCAAGCAAACGAATGATTAATACAATGAAAAATACATATATGTATGTATTTTTATAAAATTTTAAACCATTATGATAAATAACTCTCGCTGTGAAGTTTAATGTTACTTTCAACAATTATGTTGGAAATTATATTTTAAAAATCTCAAATATTTCATTTCTTTATTGGCGAGAAAAAAAACATAAACTGTTATCACTTAACAATTAAATTAATTGCACAATTTTTTTAGACTAAACAACTTTAATTTGGTCATATAAACAAAATATAAACTTAGAGTTCGAATATCTACATATGGATGAGTCATCAAATGTTTAAAAACGTGTCTAGATTTTTGACGCCAGTTTTTTTATTTAAATAATCAAGGGAAAGTAAAACGTATTCGAAACAACTTTTCATAAGGAAAATAAAGCATTTTCCGCTCTAATTTTAATAAACTGATCACTTTTGATCAATAATGTTTTGAGAAGTCTTGCATGTAAAATAAGCCAATATATGTTATATGACTCAGAAGAATATTTTTAAGTTTTTGAGAAAACAAATTAGATATAAAAAGGAGACGCCTCTGGACATACGATAAAGAATACGTGATAATGAACATGTCGATTTTCTTCGATGTCAGCAAAATGGAACAGGTTTTGCGATTACTAATGTCCTCTTCGTTTTTTTTTCTTTAGCTTTTTAAGCTGTGTCAATATTATGCAGATTGACACAGGAATTATAATTGGAACAACATAAAAGATTTATACTGACACAGCCTAATATAAAAATTTCTGCGAATCTCGTGGATTTTTAATGAGCTTTCAACATTTTCCTAAGAATAAATTATATGAACATTGTTTGATTCAAGATATTTTATATCAAAATAAAATCATATATATTAAATTTAAAGCTTTTAATAAAAGAATACTTTAAAATCGTTCCCTAAAATGAAAAACCTTAAAATGTAGAAAGTTTTTTTTTTAAATAAAAAACAATGAAACCAACAATTCCTACTAAAATAAGTACTGCTGAATAGAATCCTATTAGATTTGACATGATGGTGATGCATGTTTGTTGGATATTATTAAAGTTGAGTATGTGATCTTATTACATTGCACAAAGTAAGCCTAGATCTGGATCTTATTGTGTTGGATCAATTTGGGGAAGATGTTTTAAGATGCTAGAGTTATCTAACATAAAGTGATTATATTGAAACTATAAATAAGAGCATTAAAAGAAACCGCCAAAATCTTGGAAAAATATTTATCTATATATATTTATTTATACTTATGATATAAAAGAAAAAAAAAATTCTCAAGATATATTTCGTATGAAGGAGGCATTGTTGCCATTTTTGGCTCACTTCATACGAATAGTTCATTAAAAGCTAAAGGTAATGACTTTGAAGAATCATATCAAAAGACAATTAGTAATTTTAAGAAAGTTTATAAGCCCGAAAAGACATGACTCTACATAGGAGAAACTCAAAATGTTGGACATTTCTTTAGGTAAAGTTAATGTCAAACGATATGCTTCTTCATTGAAAATAAAAATTCAAGTTAAGTTATGTTAAGTTCAATTATCCACAATAAGTATTTAAAAATATATTTCACGTGAATTGTATAATCATTCTTTTTTTTTCTAAGCAGACTAAAATTCAGTAGTACAATATTATGATAACATGTAAATATGACTAAACGGAATACAGAAATTTACGAATACAAAGAAGAAAAAAATGTTCTTCGTTTTATTAATTTATAAGTAAGATGCAAATAAAAATACTAAAAAATGTTGAGTTTATAAAAACATACACATAGTGCAGCTGACTGGCGCCGCTAGTGAAGTTCGAAATAATATTATTTTGAATTGAACAGAAGAACGAAAGAAGAAGAGGTAAAAATGAGAATTTTATCGCGCCACAAAGATTCCTTCTCTTTCATCATTTAGTTTTTAACTGTTTCCTTTAGTAATGTTTTCTTGTTTATTTGCCTTACTAGATTATATTGAATTATAGAAAAAAAATTGACTCAATGGCATAACAAGGGTTGACAAAGTGGAGATTTTTTTCAAAAAAAAAATTACTTAAGTTATTTTCTGTAGTTTTCATGAATTACATTAAATTATTTAATATGTTGATAAATTCGGTACACGGTTTATAAAACCTCAAAAAAAAATCTATTACACGACAGATAAAATTAAATTTAAACATGAGGAAAAGAATCAGTCACTTTAAAAAAGAATTTCATCAAAATGCAACATTTGCTTGCTTTTCTCATATACGACGATAAAAATAGAGACCAAATTGCACTAAAGAAATTGTTTTTAAAAAACGGACTGTCGTTAAATGAGGCGCCATCGTAGATCATTTAGAAGAAAAATACAAAGCATAAAAAATTCTTTACTTTAATTTACTTTTTCGATTAATCACATGTGTAAATAAAATCAAAAGAAACAAAAATAAACGACAAATAAAATTTCCATATAGAAAACAAGAATGTTTTTTCTAAGCTCAATTACATTGTTGGCACAAAAAATTGAAGACAATTGAACTTTTAAGACTTTTGAAAACTCAGAAACACATGAAAACTTTAATTAAGAAATTAATGAAACCAAGCGGGTGCAAAGCAGTGCAAAGATGATTTGGTAACATATTGATAGCTTATGAGTGCTGTTGTTAGAATAAAGCTTAATTCAGCTTAATCAATAATAATAATAATAACTATCAAGATCTACGTAATAAAGTTTTAATAAATTTCAATAAAATTTAATCCAAAAATAAATCTGACTTTTAGCATATAAAATAACTTGTATGTACAAGTGACTTTAAGTTATTAAATGCATAAAACAAAAACAATTGGAAAGTGATTTACAGTGGGTGGTCGATGAAACTTCTGAAATTACAAAACAACAAAATTTGAAAAAGAATCAGAGTAAAGACTGATAAAAATGCTCGCTCATTTAATTCATGTTTATCTTTTATACAGTCTTGTTCATCATTTTTTCTTGGTTTTTTTTAAATTCCTCTTTGCGATCAATTTTCTTCTTTGCAATACATTTATAAGTATCCATAAGTATATGTTAAAAAACAAGACGTTTGAAAGATCTCTGGACCGTGTTTTTACTTTACGTTTTCAAACCTTTTTTCTTCTATTTAAAGAAGAAGTTCTCTCATAACATAAAGAATTGAAAAGAATGCATGACTTGTCGGTACTTTCTTTCCAATTTTTTTTCCTCCTTTGCTTTGTCATTTTCATACAACAGCAGAAAGAGCCACTTAAGCATCATTTTGATATTTGAAGAATAAGAGTAAAGAAAACGCGAACCGCAAATTATTGAATTTTTTTTTACTTGATTCAAGGGAACGTAATTTGATTTTAATTGTATTGTTTCAGGCAAAATTTGAGACTTGTTTATTTTTAATTTCTTATATCTTTACTCATTTTTTTCCATTATAATTGCAGCAATGATTTTTTCTCTTCGAAACCAATATGAAGCAAATATATAAATATACCATCGATTTTAAAGTCTTTTGTATCCGATTTTTTTTTTGCAAAATGAATTTTAATAAATTTAAAAAAATTAAAATGTTTAATTTAAAAGAAAATTCTAAAAATATCTTACAATAAACTTTTAAAAAACGTCCGAATAATTAAATAAAGAAATAAATAAGAACGAACATTTTACGTGCTATGTGTGTGAAAACAGTCATTGACTAGACGTTTGACTGTTTTGATGGCGCCTATTTCTGAATATAGCAACAGTAATACGATTGAGAGAGAATTGAGAGATGCATGCGTTTGTGTAGTTATTTATTTTTTTTATAGCAAACAACATTCTTTTTATGGTCGTTGCACATTCACACTCACATTCTTATTAAAATATTTTTTTTTTACTATATATTTGTAAACATGTGTTGAAGCACCGTCTTGTAGGTCGGCTTTATTAAATAATTTTCAAGAATCATTTCTTTGAGATTTACACCCGCTATGTAAACCTTTATTTTAATCATATCTGATTTTAAAATATATTATATATGAAATGTGTCAAACTAAATGGTTTCTTCAAATCAATTTATTTTAAACCCTAGTGATGGAAAAACAGCAGAACTCTTTTGGAGTAATCATTTGGAAGCTTTAGTTTGAAAAATAATATTGCTTTTTTATAGAAATCCTTGAGACAGAAATTTACACTTTTAAAACTTATTTCAAAATGCATGGCGCCATCCTCTATTCCTAATGAGTATTTACTGTACTTAGTAAAGTTAAATCTTTAGGCATTCCCATACTTAATGATTTGTGATTTTGCATTTTCATCAATTGATTTTTATATTTATAAATCATTAAATTTGATAATAAATTATTAATGTCTAGATTTTACTCTTTCTTTTAAAGATCTTACAACAACGTGTTGGTGTCAATTAGCATATTGGGAACAAAGTGAACGCGTAGGGTCCAAAGTACCTGTAGAAGATCCGGCTGTAGACGTGTTTGGAGAGCAGACACGTGGTGCAGGATTATGTATAAAAACTATTGCCCAACAAAGATCAACGAGGACACCAGATTTAGTATTAAAGACAAGAGAAAAAATTGGATTAGGTATGTTGTCTCTCTGTTTTTTTACAGTTAAATTAATAATAATCCTTTTTTTATGTTAGGTGTAACTTTAAGTCGAGAAGCAGATGGAGTTTGGCTTTACAATCGTTCATCATCGCCAGTATTCGTGCATTCACCTACATTATGCGATATGGAGTCTAGAGTAACAATACCATTTAAAATACCACCAGGCCACTGTATTCGTGCATTTGATCCATTAAAGTAAGATTTATTTCAAATAAAATATTTTGCATCAATGTATAATTATTTTATTTGTTTTATAGAGTGAACGAATCTATAATATGGCCATCTACAATCAGTGGCTTACAGCTTGGACCAGTTGATACCCACAGTGTGAGAATTAGCTTTGCAAAAGGTTGGGGGTTGAATTACTCAAGACAAGATGTAACGTCATGTCCATGTTGGCTTGAAGTTCTTCTCAATCGTAATGATTATCTTCTTCCATGTCGGTGACATAGTACTTTAAATTTTTGGCAAAAAAGTCATTAGTTGATCGATAAAGAACAATAATTTTTCAAATCGTAACGAAAGGAGTTCAGAAACTCAAACAATTTAAAAAGTTTCAAGCAATCATAAGATATTTGCATAAATTATTTATGATAGAAAAATAATATTCCATTTCGTCATAGACATGATATAATTGTGAACGAAAAATATCACGAATTGGAAAAACAACAAATTAAAAAAATATGTTGATATTTAAGAGGTCTGACAACGTAAATGTTGCTTGAAAGTACGAAACGGATTATAGTATTTATCATAGTAAAAGAAATTACAAAAAAATATGATCAAGTAAGAAAACATTGTAAGAAACTAGGGTTCGGAAATCTACAGTTATTAACAGTTAGTAACACTTATCTACAGTTATCTACAATTTGTAACTGAAGATAAGTAACTGTAGATAATTTTTTCAAAGTGGAAAAAAACGTTATTAATTTACTGAAAAAAGAGTTGAAATGCTAAAATCAGGACTGCAACAGCATGTAACAGTTCAAATAAAGTGACATTAGGCTTCATTCAGTATTTTAAAAGCGTTTGTGTGGTGATTTAATTGAAAATTAAGAAATTTTCGCAAATTTTTTTTGTTTACAAACATGTGAATAATATTTGAATTTCATATAACCGTTACAAATATTCGATAAACAAAAAGTTGATTTTTAAAAGCTAATGTTGACATTTGAGCTCTCTTAATGTAAAATAAGTGTATTCTATATATAAATTTATTAAAAAAAGTCTCCAAAAATTGTTTGTTTACAAAACTTTGCAAATTTTTTTAACGGATTTTCTTCATTCAAAAAATTTATCTACAGTTTACTAACTGTAGATAACTGTAGATTTTGTGTAGATAATGTAAAAGTTGATAACTGTAGATAATCAGTTAGTGGTTTTCCGAACCCTATAAGAAACATTTGTATGCAAGAAACTTGTGCGAGTAAAATTGCATGTATCATGTTTTCTCGATATAAGCCTCTATCCGTTAATTACGAAAAATTTGGATTAGTAAAGGATTTCGACAATTAAAAACTTTTTGTTTCCCTTTCCTAAGCATCTCCTTTACATACGTCAAATAAGGTTCTTTAGTATAACAAATTTTTTTATTCAAAACTATGCAGGTATTGCAAATTGCTTAGAGAAGGTAATTTAAAACTTTTTAAATTACTTTAAGTAGGTAAACTAAAAGCCCCTACTTTGGCTTATATAGAGAAAACAAAGCAATAATTCAAGTAGAGTGTACTAAGAGAATATCTACAAAGTTGTACGTCATTTTAAACGACTTCAAAGGAAGGCATGCAAAGATTAAATAATTTAGCTTTATATAAAGTTTAAAGCATTTATTTAAATTATAAAAAATTGCGATTGTATATTAACTCAGGAATAGTCGAAAATGCGACAAGTTGAACAATATTAATTTTGCCTAGAGTAGCAAATCTAATATTGCAATTTTAAGATGAGAAAAAGAATTGATTGTGATTCCTTGAATGATTCGTACTAAATTTAATCATTACTGATTGGTTTTAAGCAAATTACGAGAAAACTATGGAGGAGATTAAATCAAACTTTATTAAATATACCTCATTTCCAAAACCGTACAAAAGATTGCTCATTAGAGCTTTTCACGAGATTCGTTGAGGATCATAAAAATATGCCAGCTATACTTATAGTTTTTTTTTTTTTTTTGGATAATTAATTTTATCAAAATATAAAAAAGAAGGTTATATCAAATAAAATGAATTTCGTTTAAAATTAAAGTCGAGAGTTTTTGTCTGACGTACTTTATGAAAAAGATCAGCTTTAACATATTTATAAAAAATTAAAATTGTTGATTCTGCATCGATATAATAGAATAAAAATGCTAGTAGAATTAAAAATTAACATGGGTTTATACTTAATAAATTTCAAAACACATTTTTTTTTAAATTCAGTATTCGATTGAGACTTTGCTATGATTTCTTTTAAATCGTATAAATTAAATGATTTCTTGATATATAACTTGAAGAGCCAGTCATAATGAGTAATTAATTTTCTCTCCCTTCGCGAATAAGTACATGAAAAGTTGGAATCCTTTTTTTCGTGTTGTGAAGTAACTCCATGGAAATATTTTGAAATCAATTAAGTAACTTAACTCTGATGTAAGACAAGATTCTGCTGGCATTTTGTACTATTAAATCGATAACTTTGAGTACTAATGAATTTGTCAATCAAAATATTAACTAAGTAAGGATGAAGGAAAAATTTACAAATGAATTCAGTGATCATGAAAATTCCCATTCCTCGTCCAAATTTTCAAGACTAAATTCAATTTTTATGAAGATTGACAATGTAAATTATTTTGTATGTTTCAAAATTAATTCAATTTAAATTTTATATAACAAATATAAAACTTGAAAATATATATCACTCCATAGAAATATTTCAATTAAAATGAAAAAAGAAAAGAAATCAAAATACCAATTAAAGTTCTTTAAATTACTCTATAATATTTATCATCAAATTACAGCTGTACTAAAATTACAGCTGTAGATTACAGATGTACTTACGTCGTTACGTAAAAATCAAATTACAGCTGTAATTTACAGCAAATACAGATGTAAATACAGATGGTGTTTAAAATTTAGACAAGTGCTTAGCTGTACTTACAGTTGATGTAATTTTTCGTAAATTCTGCTGGTTTTGACTATGATTTTTCCTTTTACAAAAAGATTGAATATAAAACGAGGAATAGGAGAGTGCAAAAGTTTATAAAATATAAATAATACAAGAATAAAATAGGGAAACAAAATCATTTACAATGATAGTAAACAAACTAGGAAATACGAATGGCTTCGATTTAAATCCAGCACCATGCGAGAGTCACACAAAGTTGAGGCCGAATTTCTGATTAATTTACCAACTTGTGCAATTCGGGATAGAACCAACCCTTTAGAACCTGTACCTTGTTTTCTATTCAATATTTTTGTAAAAGGAAAAATCATAGTCAAAGCTAGCAGAATTTACGAAAAATTACATCAACTATAAGTACAGCTAAGCACTTGTCTAAGCTATAAAAACCATCTGTATTTACAGCTGTATGTTATTTTTATACATTATGCTACATATAATTTGATTTTTACGTAACGACGTAAGTTCATTTGTAATCTACAGCTTTAATTTTAGTACAGCTGTAATTTGATGCTAAATAGTATAGGGTCTTTAAATTATATTTTTTATACGAATAAAAGGAGAAGTTTTTTTTAAAAAATCAATTGGTTTAATTGAAAAATGCTCTGTTTTTCACTCCAAAACTTACTTTATATTTTTGTAGCATTATGCAGAAAATTAGAGACCCCAAAAAATTATTGCATGAATAATTAATTGTTGATTCGTCCTACCAAAAATTTTGTGCCTTTTTTTTATTAAAATTTTCCAATGGCATTAACACGATGAAAGGAAAATTAAATTTAAGAAAATGAAGAAAAATGAAGAAAAATACTCTTGCAATACTTAAATAAACTTTTGTAAATCTATAAAATCTGAAAAAATAATAATTGAAAAAGATCCAAAACAAAAAATAAAATTTAATGAATAAAACTTTATTCATTTTTAGAGCAAAATTAAATAATGGCCTTTTTTTTAGATTTAAATTCTGTTTTTTCTAGTGATTAATTTTGTGATTGTAATAGTCCGAAAATTTGTAAATAAACTGGACATTTTCATCAGCATCGAACTTTTCGAAGTCATATTTTAAATGATTTAAAGTTTAAAAAACCATCACAAGATTTTGAAGTAATCTAAATGGATTTGAAGTGCAAACTGAGCGTTTTCTTGGACAATAATAATGCCTCAAACATTTTGATAGAGCTCTATCGCATTCACACAATTTTGTTGCACAACTGAAAGGTCCGCCAAATTCTCCATTATCTGAAAAATAAAAGATGAACAAGAAAATTCATATTTTTTTAAATTCTCAAAATTTTACCAATTGCACACAAAGGTTTTCCTTTATAGCACTTCCAAAGATAAGGTACTAAGTATTCTGCAATCATGATTAAATGAAAAAAGAGTTAAGAGAGTAATGGAAAATCACAATAGGAACCATTATTAAAGCTTAAGTCAACAGGAATTTGATTTTGAAATAATTATATTTCTGGGTCCATTCAAATTTTGATCAGATTTCACCATTAGAATATAAAAGAAAATCAAGGACTGTAAATTTACCTGTGTAAAAGAAACAATTTGCGTTACTGTAGCAAAAATCATGTGCTTTGCAACATCTATCAATTCCATCTAATGCTCGTCCCGAACCCAAAAATCCACAATAACAACCATAACTATTGAAAAAGAAATTAATATAGTTTATATCCAGTTTCTATCAGAGCTCGAAGTCCATTCGAGTTGACTCAACTTTTCTCGAGTCGACTTCATTTTTTTCTCTATCGACTTCGAGCTCTGGTTTCTATTTCAAATATTTAAAAAAATTACCCTTTGTACTGAAGAGGATCACAACCAGTTGCACACTTTATCATTGAATAAAGATGAAGAACTCCTCTTTTTGATCTTCCTTCTCTATAAAAGCTTTCATTGTCAGTCGAATTCCTGATAATCAATTTTTTTTTATTAAAATAAAATACTTTAGGAATGAAATTTTTATATTCACACCGTATTCACGTGAAAATCAATTATTTTTGTTTTGATTAAAAAATCAGTTTTTCGAAGGTTGTGAGGAAATGGAGCAAGAAAGCTTAACATGTACTAATATGAGAAGTTTGTGCATAAAATTTCGATGCAGCTATAAAACATCTGAAACCCAGAACCACCGAACAACACCGCTTGATTGATTTCTGGAATCTCGTGATTTTCAGTAAGAGGGTGATTTGGAAAAGATTGTTCAGCTAACCCGTCAAACTTCAAACATTTGCTAAGCTTAAACTATTGACAAGACTTTCGATGGTACGGTGTGAATATAGTTCCGCATTGGGTTTCTACCTGATACACTAGTACAATTTTTAATTTTTTGATGATGCCGTCATAAATGAGACAAGGAAGGAATCACACAAGACCGAAACCAATATTCACGGATAATTCACTTTTATTCAACAGCTGTTTTAAGTTTACTATGTATTGCGTTGTCTATCTAAAGATAAAAGGCTCACAAAGATTATAATCTTTAGATAATCCAATGCAAAGATTATAATCTTCGTTTTCAAAAGATTATAATCTACGAAAGCCTTTATCTAAAGTTTACGATGTGTAGTAAACTTCAAACAGCTGTAGTTTAGCAGTCAGTGATCTGTGGAAAATGGTCTTGTTTGTTATCTGTTGTTATGATTTTATATATGTTTTACCATAATTTTCATGTTGGCTTTGAAAATTGAAATTAGTCAAAAAGATCACATCGTTAAAATTGTGAAATAAAAACAGAATTTGTCTTTTATAATTCTATTTCCATTAATACTTCCAAGTAATTCTCTAAAAACTTCCGCAATACAAGTGTTAAAAGTGAATCTAATGCATAAATTATGTAACAAAACACGTCTAACATCTCTTTAAGCGTCGAACATTTTAAAAAAAGTACAAGAAAAAAAAAGTGGAAAAGAAAATGTGCGATTTTGAACTTGAATGTCGATTAAGTAATGTGCGGTAAGTTATTATTGACTTATATAGTTTTATTGTTGTTATTGTTTTTCTATAATTTTTTTGAGACATAGAAAATTTTTTTAAAAGCATTAATAGAAAATTCGAAGGACCCAAAGAGATTATATTATAATCTTATTCTTCAACCCTAATAGCTGACTTGAATCTATACTTAAAATATAAACTGAAATTTTTATTACACAACATAACTTATAAAATCGATTAAGATACACAATATATATTAAAAGTTTTTGTTTCGTTTCGATTTGAAGAAGGTGGGATCATTGTTGTATTGTGATTTTTAACAATCGTCGTTGATATTTTCCATATCATTTTACTATTTCCTTTTATAACAAATATTGATAAGATTTTAATTCAAAGCTTTATAATCTAGCTTTACCTGTATTTCCATTTTGTTGAATGACCAAAAGGATTGTTGGCACGAGCAATAAATACATCACTATCTCGATGTTGATCACGAGATGTTGTAATTGGCCAACGAACATTCGGAATTCTTCCTGTTTTATTAAGTATAACCTTCTCGTTATCCAGTAAAATTGTTGCTATCTGATCAGCATATTCCTCCATTTCCAAAGCTGATTCGTTTGATGTTACCTCTTGTTTTTGAGGCTTCCTTTGCTTGTTCGATAATGGATCAACATTTTCGGTAAAAGGAACAAAAGCTGTTTGAGGCTTTTTCAAAAACTTTAATCTATGAAAAACAATTTATGAATTTTCTTACTTAATGGGAGAATATCTTCTGCTACCTATCTTTTTTTGGTAAATTATCTTTCGACTTTGTCATTAATCCACTCCAGCCATCAAGACCTAATTCACTCCACTCATCTTTTACGGTCGTGGTTTTAGTATTTTTCTTTTGTGATTGATTTAAATAATTCTTTTCTTTCTTTGCATCTTCATAGTCTAAATCTTCATTAAGTTCGTTTAACAATGTTTCGAAATCTTTTTCTGACTCGACATTTTTCTGCACTATCATTTTCATGTTATCATCATAATCAACATCGTCAAAGTTTCCATCTAGATTTTTTTGAAAAATCAATTTTTCGTTCCTTAACTCGTCTAGAATTTCTTCACTTTTCATTTTGATTTGTTGTCTATTTGACGATGTTGGTTTTAGATTTACTTTCGTAAGCTTATTGATGTTTGTAATGTTTGGGAAAATCGGAGAAATAAAATCAGACTTCCTTAAAGTTAATGTTCTATTGTTCCCATCAGGCATTTGAAAAACATATGTAGGATTTATGTTTTGAAGATTAAAAACTTTTGAAATGTACTCATCTAATGTTGAATTTTCATAGTGAATATTAAGTACATGTTTGATGTGCATTCTCATATCATTAAAATTTTTGTGATGTCCATGCATTTGTGAAAGATTTAAATTTTTAGTTCTATGCACAGGCAATGTGAAAGTAAACTTTAATGCTGCAAAAAAAAATTATAACAAAATATTTTGTGGATTTCTTAACTTTACGGAAGGGTAAAATGAAATGAGAGTTCAAGAAACATTTTTTAAAATGTTTGCAGTGTTTGCTTACCTCCCTGAGTTAATTTAATTGGTAGAATGTGTATGGATGAAAAAACCCAAAATATTAAATAAATCTTAATGTACATTCTATTAAGTTTGATGAATTATTTATCACTTTTCTAAACTTTTAATATATTTATCTAATTTACACGCACAAAAGCAATCAAATATGAAAAAAAAACTTGAACTTTTCTAAGCTCGTTTATCAATATCTTCACAAATAATATGCTCGGTAGTAATTTTATGCTATTTCCAAACCATTTCTCTTTCGTTTCTATTCATTGATCATATTTAATTATTTATAATATTCTTCAACTCAATGATCCAATCTGCTTCAATCTTCCATTAAGTTGATATTTTGAGTTTATTTCACTGTCACTTATACGAATATAAAAAGCGAAATGTAATGAAACAAACCGAATAGCTTTGAATCTCAACAGTAACTAATCTGCTAGCAAGCAATGAATGAAAGTAAAAGTGGAAAAAAAGTAATGCAAAAAAAATTATGAAATGAGCTGAATTGAGAAGGAAAATTAATGTTTAAGCGTTAGTTATTCACTCTCATTGCATGATGACAATTCAAGAGAAATGAGAGAACATAATGATTTAAAGCACTAAAAGTTTCATAATAGACAAAATTTGAATTTTCATCATAGTGCCATCCGAAAAAAGTAGGTCAGATTAACAAGTTATTGTTTCAGATTTTCAGAACCATCAAGTCTTTGCGAAAATTGGGTAGTTGCAAAATGCGCTCCATTATATTGCGATATATCGAACATAGAAAGAGCATGCTCAGATAAGTGAGCATATAAGTGAACATACTCACTTCTGTGTGACATAATTTTGTTTATGTAATCATATGAGTGCACTTACTGAACATACTCATGAGAATATTAGGAGCATACTCACTTATGTGTGACATAATTTTTTTTCGTTCTCATATGAGTGCACTTACTGAACATACTCATGAGAATATTAAGAACACACTCACTTCGGTGTGACATAATTTTTTTTTCGTTCTCATATGAATGCACTTGCTGAACATACTCATGAGAATATTAAGAACATACTCACTTTTGTGTGACATAATTTTTTTTTCGTTGTCATTTGAGTGCACTTACTGAACATACTCATGAGAATATTAAGAACACACTCACTTCGGTGTGACATAATTTTTTTTTCGTTCTCATATGAGTGCACTTACTGAACATACTCATGAGAATATTAAGAACATACTCACTTCTGTGTGACATAATTTTTTTTCGTTCTCATATGAGTGCACTTACTGAACATACTCATGAGAATATTAAGAACACACTCACTTCGGTGTGACATAATTTTTTTTCGTTCTTCTATGAGTGCACTTACTGAACATACTCATGAGAATATTAAGAACATACTCACTTCTGTGTGACATAATTTTGTTTACTTCTCATATGAGTGCACTTACTAAACATACTCATGAGAATACTAAGAACATACTCACTTCTGTGTGACTGAATTTTTTTTCGTTCTCATATGAGTGCACTTACTGAACATACTCATGAGAATATTAAGAACATACTCACTTCTGTGTGACATAATTTTTTTTCATTCTCATATGAGTGCACTTACTGAACATACTCATGAGAATATTAAGAACACACTCACTTCGGTGTGACATAAATTTTTTTTCGTTCTCATATAAGTGCACTTACTGAACATACTCATGAGAATATTAAGAACATACTCACTTTTGTGTGACATAATTTTTTTTCGTTCTCATATGAGTGCACTTACTGAACATACTCATGAAAATATTAAGAACACACTCACTTCGGTGTGACATAATTTTTTTTCCGTTCTCATATGAGTGCACTTACTGAACATACTCATGAGAATATTAAGAACATACTCACTTTAGTGTGACATAATTTTTTTTTCGTTCTCATTTGAGTGCACTTACTGAACATACCCATGAGAATATTAAGAACATACTCACTTCTGTATGACATAATTTTTTTTCGTTCTTATATGAGTGCACTTACTGAACATACTCATGAGAATATTAAGAACATACTCACTTCTGTGAGACATAATTTTGTTTTCGTTCTCATATGAGTGCACTTACTGAACATACTCATGAGAATATTAGGAGCATACTCACTTCTGTGTGACATAATTTTTTTTTCGTTCTCATATGAGTGCACTTACTGAACATACTCATGAGAATTTTAAGAACATACTCACTTCTGTATGACATAATTTTTTTCGTTCTTATATGAGTGCACTTACTGAACATACTCATGAGAATATTAAGAACATACTCACTTCTGTATGACATAATTTTTTTTTCGTTCTCATATAAGTGCACTTACTGAACATACTCATGAGAATATTAAGAACATACTCACTTCTGTATGACATAATTTTTTTTTCGTTCTCATATGAGTGCACTTACTGAACATACTCATGAGAATATTAAGAACATACTCACTTCTGTATGACATAATTTTTTTTTCGTTCTCATATAAGTGCACTTACTGAACATACTCATGAGAATATTAAGAACATACTCACTTCTGTGTGACATAATTGTTTTTCGTTCTCATATGAGTGCACTTACTGAACATACTCATGAGAATATTAAGAACACACTCACTTCGGTGTGACATAATTTTTTTCGTTCTCATATGAGTGCACTTACTGAACATACTCATGAGAATATTAAGAACATACTCACTTCTGTATGACATAATTTTTTTTCGTTCTCATATAAGTGCACTTACTGAACATACTCATGAGAATATTAAGAACATACTCACTTCTGTGTGACATAATTTTTTTTCGTTCTCATATGAGTGCACTTACTGAACATACTCATGAGAATATTAAGAACACACTCACTTCGGTGTGACATAATTTTTTTTCCGTTCTCATATGAGTGCACTTACTGAACATACTCATGAGAATATTAAGAACATACTCACTTTAGTGTGACATAATTTTTTTTTCGTTCTCATTTGAGTGCACTTACTGAACATACCCATGAGAATATTAAGAACATACTCACTTCTGTATGACATAATTTTTTTTCGTTCTTATATGAGTGCACTTACTGAACATACTCATGAGAATATTAAGAACATACTCACTTCTGTGAGACATAATTTTGTTTTCGTTCTCATATGAGTGCACTTACTGAACATACTCATGAGAATATTAGGAGCATACTCACTTCTGTGTGACATAATTTTTTTTTCGTTCTCATATGAGTGCACTTACTGAACATACTCATGAGAATATTAGGAACATACTCACTTCTGTGTGACATAATTTTTTTTTCTTTCTCATATGAGTGCACTTACTGTACATACTCATGAGAATATTAAGAACATACTCACTTCTGTGTGACATAATTTTTTTTCGTTCTCATATGAGTGCACTTACTGAACATACTCATGAGAATATTAAGAACACACTCACTTCGGTGTGACATAATTTTTTTTTCGTTCTCATATGAGTGCACTTACTGAACATACTCATGAGAATTTTAAGAACATACTCACTTCTGTATGACATAATTTTTTTCGTTCTCATATGAGTGCACTTACTGAACATACTCATGAGAATATTAAGAACATACTCACTTCTGTATGACATAATTTTTTTTTCGTTCTCATATAAGTGCACTTACTGAACATACTCATGAGAATATTAAGAACATACTCACTTCTGTGAGACATAATTTTTTTTCGTTCTCATATGAGTGCACTTACTGAACATTCTCATGAGAATACTAAGAACATACTCACTTCTGTGTGACATAATTTTGTTTTCGTTCTCATATGAGTGCACTTACTGAACATACTCATGAGAATACTAAGAACATACTCACTTTAGTGTGACATAATTTTTTTTTTCGTTCTCATATGAGTGCACTTACTGAACATACTCATGAGAATACTAAGAACATACTCACTTCTGTGTGACATAATTTTGTTTTCGTTCTCATATGAGTGCACTTACTGAACATACTCATGAGAATACTAAGAACATACCAGAGCTGCGAAACAGGCACCTGTGACAGGTGAGAACCCTACAATTCCTTGATAATTTATAAGGTTTTTCTAACAAAACCATACAAATTATCAAGGAATTGAAAGGTTCTCACCTGTCACAGGTGACCTGTTTCGCAACTCTGGAACATACTCACTTCTGTGTGACATAATTTTTTTTCGTTCTCATATGAGTGCACTTACTGAACATACTCATGAGAATATTAAGAACACACTCACTTCGGTGTGACATAATTTTTTTTTCGTTCTCATATGAGTGCACTTACTGAACATACTCATGAGAATTTTAAGAACATACTCACTTCTGTATGACATAATTTTATCATAATCATATAAATGCAGATGCCATATAATTCATATGATATTGCCAAAATACAACTGGTGCTGTTTTAATGAAATTCATTTTTATGGAGGTCGACATTTTTCAAAAATACATTCTTATCATTTACCTAATCTATCCAGCTACCTGTGAAATTCAAATTTAACTTAATTATTTTTTTAAATTTTGTAACTTCACCAGAGTTTTCTCATGAGTGTGCTCAGATGAGCACATACTCATAAATAAACACAGTAAGTTTATATTCTTGTTATGCTAGTATGTTCATGAGTGTATTCAATAAAAATGTTGCATGAAAAAATGTTGCGTGTGGCATGTTGCCTTCTCATTTGAGTATGCTCATGATTTTACTCAATGAGCCCAATACATGTCACATAGGAATGTGCTCATTGAGCATGCTCAAAAAGGTAACGTGATCACATCACTTTAATGTGTGAAATGAGCACATTCTCACGAAAGATTGCTTGCTCACAAATAATGTGCTTTGAGTATGCTCATTGTATGTTCGGTATAATTGTTTTTACTGTAAAATGTTTGAAAACGACAAGCAAAGTATTAATTAAATATTTGTATTGTTTGTTGGTTTTTTATATTTGGTGAGAGGAAAACAGACTCATTTTTTATTCTGTGAAATAAGTTTAATCAAAGTCTAGAATCATGAAAAATATCTCCAATGCAATAATATCAACATTTATATTAATTATAAATTGGTTTTTATTCAAAAATTTGAAAATCAAATGCGGATTAAAGTTAATAAAACTAATTTATGATTTCTTCTTGATTTGTCGGCGATAGCTTTTATATGCATCTTCTATTTCCATATGTGTATCTATTATTTCTAAACAATCTTTTGTAAAATCGTGGACCATTTCATTAAATTTTTGACCTTTATTATTTAGCATTATAATATTTGTACACATGAGAACAAAATCACGCTTTATGTCACTTGGTAATGTCGAAATATTTGTTTCAATATTTTTCGTAATAATTTTCATGTTCATAGGATGTAAACATACTTTTTTGTAGACTTCATCCTGAATAATCTTATTATCGATTATTTGCGGAAACTCTTTTAATCTTTGCAATTCTTTCAGGCAATCTTCCCATTTTCCTTTCCAAATTGAATGCTCTTGTTCTTTTGAAAAAGTAAATGAAGTTTTTGATTCAGACACACTTACAGCAGTAGACGAATGCCGACTTCTTGTACGAATTGGCGTAGAATCACGATTATCGTCATTTTCGGAATGATCTCTTGACCGTGTTGAACTACTATCTGCTTTTAAAGAATCTGCTCCTTTTCTTCGATTATTTGAACGCGATGCCTTTAATTCTAAAACTTCTTCGTCACTGTCGATAGCACTACGAGATTCCTCAATTTCAGCAACAATTATAGGTTTTAATGACAATTTTGTTTCTGACAGTTCTTCGGATTTTTCTGAAAATAAATCTTTTGCATTCTTATTTTCTATTACTTTTTCCGTTTCTGAGTGATGATCTTTGGCATCCTCAAAAATTGCGTCTTCGGAATCGTCGGGGTGAAATGTGAGATCATCTTTAATTTCTTTTTCACTGTTCATAGAGTTTTCATCGCTCTCACCGATTGGAATAACTTGAAATTTTTGTGACTCTTTGTTCGAATCGTCACCGCTAGCGTCTTTTATATCATCAACTATTGATGACTTTACACTTTGAGACTCTTCGCCATCATTTGGATCTAATTTTTCACACGGTACATCCTTTTTTTCTTCATTTGTAGTCGAACTTTCATCAGAAATCATGACAATTTTCTCATCGTGGGCTTCTGTTTTAAGTGACTGCAATGTCATTGAATCATTAGATTCTATATTGTTTTCATCAGCCAACTCAATTGCATCTGATGAATGCTCAGGTTCTAATGGAATAGGATCCTGTACAATATCATTCTCATCAACAGAAACTTTATGTGGCTGTTCTATTGTTGTATCGTGAGATGTAGTAAGATTATTACTATGCACTGATGTTTCAACATCAGAAACACCTGCTAAATCCTGAATTGTCTCAACAATTTGTTTAATCTTTAACTTGTCATAGTCATCTGTTGAGGTCGCTTGAGAAGAGTCATCCTTAATAGGTTCACCATCGGATATTTTCTCTTCGAGAATTTCGGGATTCATTATAATAGAGTTAAGATCTTCTAAATCCTCGTCCATATCAAATTTTTCTGCATCAATAAGTTCATTAAAGTCAGCAAGTAATTCGGCTTCTTCGTCTTTTACTATATCGCCATCTTTTCCACCACTTTCGATTGACATAAGCATCTGTTGTTTTTCTGCTGTTGCTGAATCTTGTTGTGATGATAGTCTTTTATCCAGTAATGTAATGAGAGTTGGCGCAGATTGAGAATGTGAAACTATAGAAGAAGGAGAAGAATTATCAATTTTAATGATATTTGACAATGTGGATGTGGAAGCGGATATATTAATGTTTGGTGCAGATGATGATATTAATGATGATGAAGATGATTTTAGGTTTTGCACAATGATATTGGGATTATTGGAAGCTGATGAAGTGCCAGTTAGGAGATTGGTTATTGTGGGAGCTATTCGAGCAGAGTTATTATTACTACTGCCACTATTTAAGGACGTTGCTTGCTGGACAGTCTGTGATGGAGACTTAAGAAGCGAAGTTAACAATGGTGATGGTGATGTACCTGTTTGTTGCTGTGTCGTTGTATCGGATTCCATATCGTCTTGCGATTTTTGTGTTCTAATATTCGATTTATACGGACCACGCCATTGTCTTTCATGTTGTAGCTTTTTTTCCTCTCGATCTTTTAGCCATTGATCATGACGAACTTGTTCGCGTTCTTTCTGTATCTTTTCTTGTTCAATCTGATTCCACATCTCACGTACTTTTGTCTCGTCTAACGATGAACTTTGCAAAAATAGCATTTCTTCCTTAAGCTTTCCAAACTGCTGTTGTTCTTCCTGAATTGATTTTTTTAATTCAATTATTCGTTCTGCTGTGAGTTTCTTTACTAACGATTCTACCGGCGTTGAAGGAGTCTCTGTTGGTTGATCACGCTCTGAAGCAGTTCGCTAAATTGAATTTTTTTGTATAATTTTTTGTATCATATTTCTGTCATTAAAAATTTTAAAAGTAAAATTGTACCTTTTTGCGTTTCGGTGTTTCACATGATTCCAATAGTTTTCCATATTGAGTAGCACAGCTTTTGGATAAAAACCAATCGCCAGGCCTTGAATTATATGATGAAACAATTCCTTTTAATGCTCTCGATACACTCATCCAGTTTTGATCACCGCTACACGCTACTGCTGACGCCAAACACAATTGCTCATGTGTATTCCATTCATCCAGTGGTCTTTATTTTTTAAACAAAATTGTAATAAAAATAAAACGTAAACAAATGATTAAAATTACTTACGCTCGTTTTGTTTGTAAGAATTCCTTAATTTTTTGATCTTTTGTGGACATTGTAAATACTATCCCTTATTAAGTTATTAACTATAGATTTTGTTAAACGCTTTTGATATGCTAAATCCTTCCTATTAATGCTGCAAAACTTTAGTTTCAAATTAATTCAAACTTTTCGAGTTTGTTTTGTTGGTTCTTAAAATCGTATAATTTATACGATTGTCTAATCCAAAGTAAGTACTTTTTGGATAATTTTTGCGCGGATATTTTATTTTAAATTCAAATCAAACAGCCGTTTGCATTTATTTATTGAATTTTTCCCATTTATTAATATTTCGTTGTAAAATGCAAGAAAAAGGGTGTTACCTATACATTATTTATAAAGCATCGACATTTGGGCAAATCCTGTATGGCCAATACTTAATTATTATTATAGCTATTAATAAAATTATCAATTAGAATTTTGTGTACATATTATTGGCCAAGAAATGGTTTTTAAATAAATGTATTATTGTCTTTTTTTTTCTTATTTAACAACATCAACTGTTGTAAGGTCATAATTATTATCATCACTATTATTAATATGTTTTTTTTTTTTGATAAGGCATTAAACAGTATAAGAACTTTTGCTTCTAGGGAAGTAACATAAAATTTCTATAAATGATTTATTTACATATCAAGACCAATAATGCTTTTTGTTAAAGAAAAAAAAAATATTACGCAGCTAAAAGTTCATTTGCGAGCATTTCTCTACTTGAAAACGTAATTCCACTTCGTGATCTACTTCGGGATAGTTGAGCCCTTCTCTCTGCGCCTGCTGCTCTTTGTCCTCGTTTTCTTCTTTGATCTCGATTTCCGAAAGCAGACCCCGTTTGCAAGGCTTCCAATAAACTATCCATAACACCTTCTTGCGTTTGTGCAGCATCAATATCAACTAATGCCAGTTTTCTTTGATTTCTTTCTTGCAAATCTTTTTGTTGCTGTTCCCTAGACTCGCGTGCACGTCTTGCCTTTTCCTCATTTTCTTTAGTTTTTACATTTTCCTGATATGCATGAATGAAGGAATCTTTAAACGTTTTAATATCCATAAAGAACTCTTCGAGTGAATATTTATTATCATCAAATGCATAATATTCGGATAGTTCCTTGAAAGCATTCTCCATCTGTACTTGCATTTTGCCCAAAACTTCAACTTGAGCTCGACACTCGACCGAAAAGTTACCCATAACGTCAATAAATTTGTCATCTGATGATTGTGGCACTTTGTTATTATTCAAATCAGACTCAAGATTCTTTAACGATGCATTCATTTGTCTCATCGTCTTTTGAATATTATCTAAACTAACGCGTGATGCTTTGTCAACATGTGAAAGATCTTCATAAAAGTTTAAACAATCCGGGAATTTAATTTCGACTATTTCGGCTATGTAGTGAAGTAACGTCTGCTTGTTCTCATAATCTTTTGTGCTTGTCAATTTTGTAAGGAAACTGATTTCAAAACCAAAAGCTGCTTCATTCTTTGATCCTGAATTCATGTAGTTGCCAAGAAGTAATATTAATTCTAAAATTTTGGCAAATTTTCGACTCGTACGAACTTCTTCACAAGCTGCAGTAACCGAAACAATGTCTGGCTTAACATCATTGATCAAATCAGGGAAATTAAGACGAAAACTTAAACTCTGAAGTCGAGCACCAAGTCTCTTTATTTCAGCAATAGTGCCTGCAAACTTTTCTGCTCCTGATAATTCTTCCCCACTTGCCTTTATCTCTTGAAGACGTTTTAATTGATCCGGAGGTGGTAAATATTGTATCATTTGCTGTAAAATGCTTGCGTTTAACATTGACATGTCACATCGAAGAAGATAAATTTTGATTTGATCATATGACAAATGTTTGAGTGAGCCGCCAAGTAAAATTGAAAGATTTTGTGCAGCTTTTGCATCCAATACTCTTAAATCGACAACTGATTTCTTTGTTGTTCCTCCTCGATCTAATGCATCTTTTTCCATTGTCTTTTTAATTGGTTTCGATGAAAACTTTGATGCTAATCCACAAAGAATGTCATCTGAAGCAAGCTTATCTTCATGAACTCGCACCCAGAAGGATTTCTCACTCATTTTATGTGGTATTATAGCTTTCCAATTAGCTCGTTTCATCGGTCCGTCGACATCCCATTTCTTCTTAGGTTTTAAACCATGCGGGAGTGCTTGTGGTTGTTGCTGTAAAGGCATTCTCGGTGCCATCATAGGAAACATTGGTGGTGGTCTTGGAGCACCGTTATCTAAAATTTATTATTTATTTGATTTAAAAGTTATATATATATTTTTTTGAATTTTAATAAGTTTATTCAATTTACCATTACTAAATGGTGGGGGTGGGGGTCTGGGAGCCATTCCTGGTAATGGAGGGGGAGGAGGAATTGATCCATTAGAAAGTCCTGAATTTGGTGGTAAGGGAGGTGGTCTTGGTGCTGTTGTCATTCCTAATATGAAAAAAAAACAGATAGATTGAAATGAAAATTGATAATAATTAAGTAATGGAATTGCCCTAATAGACAGAGTGTGCTGAAAACAATAAGCGCATGCGAAAATATGCTCAATTATAGAGATTTAAATGCTCACGAATGTATCCTCAACTGAAGGTAGAGTGATATTTTTAAGGATATATAATTTTAAGCATATTCAGAATACATCTTAGTAATAAGACACATATAAGTGTGGCAATAAAATACTGACTGAATATGCTCAGTAGAGTTCATAACACCCAAAAGATTCTGTAAAAAAGCATGCTCATGAGAGTACAATTATCACAAAAATTAAGTTTACTCTTTGCCTTATTAGGGTTAACAATAAATAGAAATTTCAAACATACCGGGCATTAAAGGTGGTGGAGGGATATTAATCTGAGGTAATTTATTTGTTTTGACTAAACCTCCGCCATTTGCTTCTATTTCTTTCAGTTTTTCTTCTAAATGTGCAGCCTTTGCTTCTGCTTCTTGCTTTGCCATTTGAAGTTCTTCCATTCGTTTCTCATTTTCTTCAGCTTTCTTTAATTCTATAGCTTTACTCCGTTCAACAAGATCATCCAATAATACAGAAGTGTCAATGTGAAAATCGCGAGATTTGAAATTTGGATCGACACCACTTTTATGAAGAACAATTTGACTAACACATTCTTCAATCAGCTTATAGTAGGCAGGACGAAAAAGATGATCATCACGGATGAATAAAAGATGCTGCAGGATTGAAAGAAAATAGGGCTCTGCTGCTGTGTCAACAACCAAATTCTTTAATAGCTCGAAGCAATCATTCACATCATCAATTTCGAGTCTTACATGATCAAAACGAGAACTAAATTCTTCATAATCATCCTCTCTGAATGAATTAAAGATTTTAAAGTGATTTTCAAGACGTTTATCTTGTGCTTGATTTACGATTTTTGATAATAGATCTAATCGATCATACATGCCAGATCGCATAATTTCACATCGTAAATGAAGGCGAAAATTTAAATCAGGTGGCGTATTAGTAATTGTATTTATGAAAATTAAAGTATGATAGCACAATTCTCCTTTTGTTTCCGTTCTGCCACCTTTTCCTTCGATCTCATTTTCCACAAAAAGAGCCTCAACAATTGATCGAAATCTTTCTCCACTCTTATCAATTGTTGAAGCAGCTTGCGTCACTGCTCTTAATACTTTATCATATCCGTTTCTCTCTTGAATCAGACAAAATCCAGCTAAAAGCTTTATCGCTTCGCACATAGTTTGTGGCTTATTAGGATCAAGACATTGTGCTAATAAAAACACGGCAGCATGCTGATCTGGCCTTAGAATTACATTAAGGCCCCATGTATTGTTCACAACAGCTTTTAAGCATCGAATACATTCATATTCAATCTTATCATAGTCTTTCCTTCTTTTGCACTCACGCAACAAATTAACTATCTCATCAATTCCAGGCTGCCCAAATTCTTTAATCCAACTTATTGGATTACTCGTTAAAGCTACTCTAAGACTCTCAACGCACTGATGAATTTTATTCGGACTTCGATCTGCCTCTTTCAAATATTCAATATAATCATGCGGTTTCTCAAAACGCGAATTAGATCTATGCTCAGAGCTAACTTTTCCTAAAATAATAATATTAATAATAACCATAAATATCGTGAATACAAGATCATATGTAACGAGAGAATTTAACTCTTATTTAAGGCAAATGAACATCGTTTGGCATTTTGCCATATGACACTTTTGCTCTCTAAAATTAAATTGAAGGATGAACTGCTCTACGATACATTTTATTGTATGCATGCACAACAGAAATAAAAATAAACAAATTGCGCGACATATAAATTTTCCAGAAAATTTGAATTTCCGTTGGTTTAATCGCAAAAATGCATGTACAATTTTGGAAAAGTTTAAGGACGTGAAAAATCAGACAAAATGAATTTATTGCTTGGGTGTAGCCTTTGACATTAAAAACAAGTTTTAACGGATAAAATCTCAAAATAATATAAATAGTCAATAAGCAAAACTTTAACTTTTAATAAATCTTTCTCCAATATAACATGCATGTGTGTAACAGTGTGTAATTGAAAGTAACCAACTCATATAGGTGAGAATCAAAAATGACGTCATGCAACACAGAAATAAATGTCTTATAAATGTCGTTATGTGGAAAAAATGCGAGGAAATCATTTTGCGATAAAGCAAGTTCATTTTGTCAAATAATTCTAGTATCCACAAGCTTTTCTGAAACCATTAGAACCAATTCAAAATATTCAGTAAAAAATCTTAGATCACATCTCATTTATTAAGTATGACGAAGAAAGATCATGTCCATATATAGAAATTATATGACCACTATTGATGTAAAGAAAAATAAAACAAAGCGGAAGTCTAATAAAATGGATAGCATTTCTTAAGGGTTAACAGCAGTAAGTTTAAAGAATTGCATGAATGTGACGCATAATAATTTCTCGCTAATTCAAGGTTGCTTATAAACAACTTTGATATAATGAAAGCATGTTTGTATACAACAACTTGATTAAATGCAAAACAATATGATTTTTTATATACCGAAATCAGCTGATTGTAATAAAATATGATGAACAAAAATTTAATTGAGTCAAGGACGAAAATCAGTCAGAGAAACAGAGTGAAACTAAACTTATGAATAGTATTTAATTATTTACAGTTTCTTTCTCTCATTGGATTAATTTGTGTTTATTGTTCGAGACAAACCTTTTAAATGCATTCTTAGCATATCTCGTTTTTCGTCCAAATTCTTCTTCATCAATGGATCGCGCTTGTCTTTGGGAATGTTCATGTCCTCGAGAATTTCATGAAATCGTTGATTTACTTCCTCAACAGTTAGTCTCATGATCATGTTCTCAATTTCTTGCGCATCAAAAAAGTCATTTTCATTTGCTGATACTGGCCGAGGTCCTGCACCATTATAAGGATATTTACTTCCTCGCTTTGTTGAGCGTGTGAATAAGGTATCCAAAAAACCTCCGGATTTTGTTCTATCGTGACGAGACATTTTTTGTGTATTTATTTCACAGTTAAAAACTCTCTAGGCTAGCTCGAAGTTTTGTTTTGTTTTCCACTTCGGATTTCTTTTGTTTTCTACCTTTTTTTTATTATTCAAACTTTTCAATAAACACAATAATTTATTAACAAGCTATTTCACATTTTTAATATGATATTCAATCATAGATATTTTTTAAAAATCCATTACATTAAAAAGTTGAGCACCTTTAGCATTTTTTTTTGAAATATATTTGGCTATATCATGCTTTATATAGTAGATATACACAGTAAAAGATTAGATCACTGTTTTTCTTCTTCTTCTTCTTGTTCTTTTAAAAACTTCCTCTTTTGTGCAAAATCGTCAGTCCACTTTGCAATATTTTCGTCGTTAAAAGATGCTTCACAACAAACGTCGATTAATCGATTGAAACTTAATTATAGAAGTGCATTAATCAGGCACTTTTCTTTTATTCTTACGATTTTATTAATGGAAATATACGACAGAATTCAGCCAAAACAGTTTTTTTTTTGGTTTGACACTTGTTGCTAATCTTGTTTTTGTTTAAATTTCTTTTTCTTGTGTATTCTATTTAATATTTTCACTTTTGTTCTATTCTATGGATATGCAGGTTATTTTTTAGCACTTTTATTACTAAAATTAAGTAGTTTGAACTGATAAATTAAAAAAATAATAAATTTTTAAAAACGAAAGCAAACAAGAGAATATCTAAAGCTGTCCTTCTACACATCAAATTTACAAGCTATTCAGCAAAAAATTCATGCTTTTAGCCACAATTTGTCTGCATGTCTTCGTTTCTAATTGGTATTTTTGTATTTTTGAAAAAATGCGCATTAATATTTAATGTACCGGCTGATTTTTTCGTTTCTTATTCAGCACTTCACTTGTTTACCTATTATTAAAAACAATATTACACGAATAATAAAAGATCTCTGATTTAGAGTTACTTAAAGGTTTCTAATTTGTGACAACTTAGCGCATCGAAATTTCATCATGTCGAATGTTATGGATTCTGTGAGTAGCTATAGCGAGAGTATAAGAAACAATAATAATAATTTAACTTGATTAACTTAGACATTAAGGGAACAAATTAATGAAGCATCGCGCGTTGCAGAGGAGTTTACTAAAATCTATTATGATATTGTTGATAAGAAGAAATCGATCCAAAAATTATACATGGATAATGGATTATTAGTTTATAATGGAAATGGATTTCAAGGTAATATAAGAATAATTATAACAAGCCAAAAAGTCTAATAAATTTGTTGTCTATTTAGGGGAATCCATTGGTAACTTTTTGAAATCATTACCTGATACAACTCACCAGATGACAACATTAGATGCACAGCCAATCTTAGATTCATCTGCTGGAAAGAGCTATTTGATTCAAGTTTCGGGAACTGTAAAAATTTACAGCCAAAAAAGCAGAGCATTTCAACAATCATTTCTCATAACTGCTCAAGACAATAAATGGAAAATTGTCACCGACACTTTTAGATTGCAAGATGGTATTTGTGGGGAAATTAAATTGTAATGTTTTCATAAATCAGAATAAAACGTATCTCTTAAATCATGTAGAAGAAATTGAATCGAATTATGGGTAATTCCACTCATAAATTTTTTGTAAGAAATAAGAGTTTAAATCAAATTTTCTCTTTTATTAATAATTTTCAAGATTCTTGCTTTCGTCGTCATGGTTTTAATTGAGATATTTCAATTTTAATCTCGGTTTCTCGAAGTCATACGTAGTAGTTGTTTAATGTATCGCTACAAAAGTAAATTGCAAATTTTCATCTTGAAGGCGCTTTACAACAACGTCAATGCTAAAGCGCTGCAACCTAGCTACCGCTAAAAAACTTCCAAAAGTCTTTTCTACTTCGAGCGTATAAATTATACGAAAAACAGGGTACCTTTTAATATATGCTGAGCAAAGCTCAGCTGACTTGTCAAGCTTTAAATTTTTCAAAGCTTTTGAGCAAAGCGTGGTCTATCCACAAGACTTTCGATAGTACTGTGTGAATAGACTTGAATCCAAATAACTTAATTAATACAGCGATTAGAAATATGTGATATAGAAAGTATTGTCCAAAGAATGGCACTTATGTACAAATGTACAACGTCTTTCAGTATATTGAAAATATATCTCGAAAGCACTTAAAAATCTTTTGATGTGTCGAACTCCAGATAAACAAAACCATTTTCATTCTTGATTTAGTCAGATTTCGCATTTAATAATATCGAGGATATGAATAAACCCAAGATTACATTCGGTGCTATTAAATTAAATGTTAGTGCACCAAAAACAGTAGAGAATGCACAGCCTGAAACATCCGGTATTTGTTCATTTTTTATTTATATATCTCAAAAGTTGTTGTTGATAAACAATTATTTAAATTCACAGGATTTGGTGTTTTCAGTAAGGCTGAATCTAGCAGTAATTTTAAAAAAAGCATTGAGGACATTGAAGGTCATCTCGAGTCCACGAAAATTGAAGAAATGATGGGTATCAGTGGATTTGGGAAGAAAGCAAAAAAGTTTGATATTAAAGAAATGATGCAAATTTCCCGTAAAAATTCTAAAAGAGTCGAAAGAGATCCAAAAGAATCAGAAGTCAATGAAGACGATGAATATATTGGTCCTTTGCCATCAATGGTTTCAGATTTTAACAAAGAAAAACACGACAAAACATCCAGTAAATCAGATGATGATTCAGATTCATCAGATAGCGAGGAAGAGAGTAATGAAGAGAATAATATTTCTTACAAAATTCCAGCTTCGCATGAAATACAAATGAATCATGGAAGTAAAGCTATCACAGCTTTAGCAATGGATTCCTCTGGATCACGATTAGTTTCGGGAAGCATTGACTATGAATTATGTTTCTGGGATTTTGCTGGAATGGACAAATCAATGAAATACTTTAGAAAAATACAGCCTTGCGAAAATCATTTAATAAAATGTGTAAATTATTCCTTAAATGGAGAATTAATTCTTCTTGTATCGGGCAGTTCTCAAGCAAAGATTATTGATCGCGACGGATACGAGAAGCTTGAATGCGTTAAAGGTGATCAATATATAACAGATCAATCAAAAACCAAAGGTCATGTCGCAGGATTAACTTCAGGTATATTATACCTTAAAATGCCAAAATTATATTGTTTTTAGTATTATTAGTATTGACTATTTTTAATTTACATTAAAAGGTTGTTTTCACCCGATTAAGCGTGATGAGTTTTTGACAAGCTCACTTGACTCAACGCTCAGATTGTGGATTACAAAATCGAAAGAACAAATGCAAGTTATAAAGACACGAGATAAAGGCGGACTTAAAACTGCCCCAACAGCATGTACATACAACAGAGATGGAAATTTAATAGCTGCCGGATGTATCGATGGTTCCGTGCAAATGTGGGATTCAAGAAAAATGTTTGTAAATACTACTCACTGCATTCGAAATGCTCATGTAGCAGGAAGTGAAATTTCTTCAATTAACTTTTCCTATTTGGGCAACACTTTTGTAACGAGATGCTCCGATGACACGATGAAGTTATGGGATATGCGTAATATGAAAACATCTCTTAACATATTTAATGAATTATATTCAAGATACGACACTTGTGATGCTATCTTTTCACCTGACGATTCAATGGTAATTACAGGAGAGTCATTAGACAAAACTAAAAACTATGCGAATCTTTATTTCTACGATACAAAGACATTTGAATGCATTAATCAACTACCAGTTTCACAGTCGCACATTGTTAAGGTATTGTGGCATCCAAAATTAAATCAGATTTTTTGTAGCACAGGAGACGGAAAAGTAAAAGGATATTATGATGAAAATAGAAGTATGAGAGGAGCTAAATTATGCATAGTAAAAACTTATAGAAAGAAAAAACAAACAGAAATTTCGGGAAGTATTCAAATTATTACTCCACATGCGCTTCCAATGTTTCGTCAAGAGAAAAATCGCTCTCTAAGGAAACAGTTAGAAAAGAATCGTCAAGATCCTGTTTTGTCACGTAGACCTGATCTACCAATTACTTCGGGACAAGGTGGAAGAGTTGTATCTTCAGGAGGAACTTTATCATCATATGTCATTAGGAACTTAGGACTCAGCAAAAAAATTAATGATGACAAAAATCCACGTGAAGCTATTCTGAAATATGCAAAGGAAGCTGAAGAAAATCCCTACTGGATTGCGCCAGCTTATCAAAAGACACAGCCAAAACCAATCTTTAATACAGAAGAACTAATTAAGGAGACTGACGATGATTCTGGAGAGCCGAGCAATAAAAAAAGTAAAAATGTTTAATTCAACAATATCAAAAGAATGAATAAATGAAAGAGAGATCAGAAATTGCATGATTTTTTTTATTGCACCTGTGTTATGCATACAGATAGACATGTATTTCCAACATACAAGTACTACAAAAGGTATAGCGGTTGTTTCTCTTTCAACATTTTGAATTAGTACAGCTTTTAAATGTATAGGAATATTATACACCTGTACTTAAAGTTGCTCTTTTTTTCTTCACTATTCACTCAGTAATATCGTTTAGTTTTAGTCTGCTCGTTGATAGAATAACATTAAATTATTGTATGCTGTGAAGTTAATTTGTCATTTTTTTATTATAATTTTTAAATCATTTTAATTTTTTTGATACACATTTTACATTCTAAATTAAAGTGCTCTTGTGCCTGACCAAAAGGAGAACAAAAATAAAATAAAAATAAAATAAAATTGTAATAATTGGGATCTTTGTGATAATATTGTTTATCGCATTATTAAATAAGATAGCGTGGAAAAGCAATAATACTTGAGTGAAAAATATTCCACACAAATTTTGTGCATTCGTCATCAATTTGCCTTTATTCAGCTTCATCAAAATAAGAAATTTTAAAAAAAGATATTGTGCAATAAACTTTTGTAACTCAAACACTCTTGTGGTGCAAATTATGCCATTGTTTAATAAAAAAACTACAAAAGCAAATTCTCCAACGAATGGAACGATGACTAATGGCCAAGAACAACAATCACAGCAATCTCAGCAAATCATTACATCGCCAATTAAACAGTCATCACTTCCACCACCAAGCTTAGTCTTTCATTGTCAACTTGCAAATGGGTCCCCAACTGCATTAATTTGTGGATTTTCGAGTGTCAAAGAGCTTTACCAGAAAATTGCCGAATGCTTTGACATACAGCTCGATGAAGTAAGTATGGGCATGATTGAAAAAGAAAAGAAAATAAGCTGATTCATTTCTATACCGTTCTTGTTAATATTTTCAATTCAAACTAGTAATTTGAGGTATGAGAGGAACAATATTTACGATTATCAAGAAATATTCACATTTTTAAAAAATCATTTTATTTACCGTATTTTGCTAATTCTTTCGACTGTTGTGCAATTTATTTTCCATTTTTTCAATGGAAAGCTTCATAAAAAAAAGTTAATAGAAGCACTATAAATATTTTTGAAATTCTGTAAAAAGTCACCTTGTGTAAAATACAAAACGTATAAAAATGTGACAGTCGGAGACAGATTGCAGTCAATCACATGTTTTAATTTTAAAAATTAAATAACTTGAGAATTACTTTTTTCCATCACATCTGCTAAACTGTAAACTTTTCATTGCTCTTTCGGGTGAATGTGTAAATTTCTTCATACTTGAAACTGAATTAGCAGCAGATTCTTATAGCTCTAAAGTGAAATTTGTACATGTTCCGATTTCTTTCAAGAGATTATTGCGTTGCTCGCCTTACTTACATGAGGCTTCGTGTTTACGTTTTATTTATTAAACTAGCACAAAACATAAGAAGTTCTTCCGTACTGCTTATTAATCATTTATCTAACTGTTTGAAATGGATTTTCTTAAGCTTTTTTATTGCATCTTTATTGATTACTTTATTATTAATATAAAGCTGTTGTCTATGAATAATTTCATATCCTATATCTAGCAGAAATATTTATGTAAAGTTATAATTAATCAATAACACGTCGATTTGTTTGACAAATTAAATTATTGAATTTCATTCTTATTTATTTCATTTACATAATGGAATGTAGGAATGTTTACCCATTTTTTTACTTGAATCATTTTTGAAGACATTACACACATTGATTTGTGTTTTTGTCCAGACTTTTTTTTTTATCAAGGAGTAATAATGAATTGTTTTATTGTAGTTTCTAGATAAGAGAGGCCTAAATTAAGATAAGGCAACATATACATTCCTGAATACTTATTGAATTTTTTTAATGTCTATTAAGAATATGTCCCATTTGCGATATAATCAAATCACATGTTGATGTAAATGTATTGATTAATTGAATGCAATATGAAGACGCGTGCATCAAATAAATTTGAGCAACATTTATACAAAGCATTTCTTTTCTGCAGCAACAATGTACAGCATCAAACTTATACTTACAAGTGATTTGAATGTACAAATAGAAATGGTTGAGAGGAAAGAAGAAAAAAAAGAAGCAATAAAAACTTTCACTAGTCACTTGAAACATGTTGCCAATGATATTAAATCAAGAAAAGTAAAAGAGATTTATTTGCAACAAAAGAAGCCTTGATAGAAAATAGTTTAATTAGATTTTCAATTTGATTCAGCTTCTGTTATAATTACTTAATTTCCGGCCACTATGGATAATATACTAATCATTCAGTAGTGATTTATTAGAATTCAGGAAATAATTTTAAGATTTGATTTCTTTTTTTTTTTGCTTCATTATTTTATATTTTTATTGTAATGTATGACATTGTGAACGTGTTTTACTGAATAATTATCATCATGTAGAAATATTTTTATCTAGATATGTTTAACTCAATGACAAAACATGAATTTTAAGTACTTTGTACCTCTTTGCATGATTTTCAATTGTATTTATTTATCTTAAACATTTCATTGGAATCTTTTTATGTCAAAGAGATTAATTTTTTTAAATCATAAGTTGGTGAATTTTAAAAAACTTTATTCCGCAAATGCACTAAAAAAGTCAATGTCTCTAATAGAAAAAAATCATAGTGAAAAAAGAGAAAAAAATATATGTAGGAAATACGCACCGCTGGTCAGCAACTTCATTCTTTATTTGAATAAAAAAATATCTGCTCAGATATAATCACATATAGAGGGGTGTATGGTGTAAACAGCATAAACAACAATTATTTATTTCATTTAAATTTCAACATAGTTTTTTATTATAATTAAAATGACGTCATAAAACAGACACATAAAGACATGCTTATTATCAATAATTTAAACTTACGTTTTTTTTCTAGATTATTTTCTGTACTCTAAATTCACACAAAGTGGAAATGTCGAAATTACTAGGAGGACAAATAGGATTGGATGACTTTATATTTGCTCATAGGAAAGGAAGGCCTAAAGAAATTGAAATTTTAAAATCTGAAGACGCACTTGGTCTGACAATCACTGATAATGGCGCTGGTTATGCATTCATAAAACGAATAAAAGAAGGAAGTGTAATTGATAAAATACCACATATTCAAGTAAATGATGAATTAATATTAAGCTAGACTGAATTTTAATTTTGAGAATTTTAGGTAGGTGATCATATAGAAAAATTAGACGGAGTGAGCGTTGTTGGCAAAAGACACTATGAAGTTGCGAGACTTTTAAAGGATATTAAGACTGGATCAACATTTACGATGCGTTTAGTTGAGCCACTTAAGTCAGGATTTCAAACGATTGCTCCAAGGAGTGCAGGAAAGCAAGGAAGTAAAAAAGGTTTTGGAACCGGCAAAGAAACATTAAGATTTAAAGCCAATGGAAATGTTTCCATAGAAGATGAGGTATGTTAAAGAGTTAATGAATGATATTTTGAATTAGACAAATAAAATCCTTTTTTATTTATTTTAAGCATGATGATGCAACACAAGCGGGAATTGACGCTATCAATATTTTATTAGATCAATTCTTTGGAATAAATGGTAATAAAATTATACTGAATAACTTATCATTTCCAATTTATTGATAAATAATTTACAGATAGTGAATTGGCAGCTCAAATTTGGGATTTAGGTTCAAATAAAACAAATTCGATGGATTTTGCAGAGGCAATAGATAATTCAGATTTGGAAGCATTTGGATTTACTGATGACTTCATTATTGATTTATGGGGGGCAGTAACAGATGTACGAACAGGAAGAATTAAAAGATAATTTTTGCATTCATGTTTTATTAATAAAAATTTCAAAATACTGTATATATGTATTCAATTGAAACTATATATTTTTTAAAAAAATTAATTACATCAGCATTTAATAAAAATAAAATATGAAGAAAAAGAGTAATAATTTTCTATTGCAACTGCCTTTTCTTCTCACATTGAAGTATTTTGTAGTTCCTTTAGTTCACGTGCTTCACATAGTCTGCTTATTACGAGTTGTTTTAGAAAATGAAAATGACACCGCATGAAATTCCAAGTTTAATTTGTCAATAGTTTAACGAAACTAGTATAAAGCTATAACTTACTTCAACATTCTATTAATTCATTACGATTCTAAAATCATTTTTCTGAAACGAAAAGAACTTGTCCAAGTTTTGTCGTTAGGAGCTTTATGTATTCTTAGGACTTTAGTAACGAAGTTTAGAGAGTCAGAGGGAAATTTTTGTGCAATGTGAACTTAAATTATAATTTAATTTTCGGGGCCGTTCACTTATGACGTCCAGGGGGGGGGGGGGGGTGGTCAGCAAGAAAAGGACAATAGAAATTCCTGGAAATCTATGGTTCTTTTATGAAAAATGACCGTTAAATTCGGACGTCATAAGTAAACGACCCCTTATACTCAAAACACAATTAATGTTCAAGCTGTCTGACTTTTATAGATCAGAAACATCGAAATAATTACAGTGCTTACTTGGAGGATTTTTTTAATCCTTTCAGTTAAATGGAAATTCGTCCGATGACATAGTTTTAATAATTTACTCTTTACTCTATATTCTATACCGTGCATTTTTGTAAAAAGAGAGTTCTCGCAATTTGTTGCTCTCAATTACTGTTTCAAAAACCTGCGCAGAAAATTTAACCGATAGCGATAATATTTTACAAATTTCGTTAGTCTACAATAAGAGCTTTTAGAGAAAAGATGAATTTTATATGTTTGTGTGACTATAAATCAGAAGTATTTTGATCGATTATTTAAATAGTGTAAAGTGTCAAGAGCAAAAATGTCAAGTGTTTTTATTGATATCTGAATGAAGATAAAGATTAACAAATAATTAATCAAAATTATGAAATATCATCAGACCAATTCAAATTGAGATACAATGGATTTAACTTCGTCACCGTTTATAATGCGAAATATCAATAAGCAAACGTTGATTTTTGATTTCAACAATGTTGCTTCTGAACACAGTGATGATGAAGATGAATCATCGGAAGTTTTAATTGGTAATTTTTATATCTTGTTCTTTTGTAAATTGCATAAATTAAAAAAAGGGTCAATTGAAAACTAATTTTAAAAAAGTTTCTTAAACATAATTTAAATTTCAAAAATCACATAAAGTAAAATAAAGCAGAAAAATAACAAAAAAATTTGTTCTGAATTTGATATTAATGTTTGACATATTAGCTTCACTGATATAATTTTTTTTTCAATTTACATCCATTTTAAAAAGTTGTAAAATTGTTAGACCTTTGAATTTTTATCAGCAGTGAATAGTAGCAGTGAAATAATAAAATGAAAAATTTAATGGTAAACAGCAATTTTAATACAATTTTGAATAGCCATGAAAAAATTTCTCTGCTAATATTCATGACTAAATAGAATTAAAGCTCTAAAACAACGCTTTTTGCTTTGGTATAGTCTTTCTTATTCTTTAAACTTTAATAATTTTCTGAATAGAAGGGAAATGTGTTTGGTTCAAAATAGTCTGTGTATTGTTCACATTTATACTTGTTGAACAAAGCATTTAATTTTTGTTTACTTATCAATTGTAAAATTGATTGAAAACACAGTATTAGATCTATTTTCGTTATTTTTCATCTAAATTTAGCTTTACATAATTATTAATAATAAAAAATAAAATATTTTCGTAACTATACTAAAAGTTTAAATTTGTTTAGGTAATATAATTCATATTTAGTAATGTATACCTTGAACAAGTTACGAAAAACAAGAACTTATAATTTTCTTTTCCATTTGAATGTATTTTAATATTTATGCGAAAGAATATTAAATCATCAACTGCACATGTTCTAATGTTTCTTATGAAAATACGAACACAAAAATAAATTATTCAATAACATAAAACATAAAGACAATTACTTATTGATCAATTGGAAAAGTTATTCACTGTGCTTTGATTGTATTTAGCTTTACAAATTTATTTTCATATGACATTAAAAATTCATACGAAAATTTCAATCGATACTTTAATTCCTATTAAATTTTACAAGCTTTCACAAACAGCTATGAGAATGAGGTTTTTTCACTAAAAAGAAAAAGCTTAAAAGTTTAAACTTATTCATTAAATGGCTATTTTTTAAATATTCGATATGTAAGATAAGATGATTGATGCATCAAGCTTGAACTAGGTCATTGAAAACATAAAAAAATACATGTAATAAGAACAAAGTTGTAAAATTGAACGGCAAAGTTGAGAGCCTTCATTGAATTATTATCTTTGATATTTCTGCTTGATTCAGCAAAACAACAACAAAGTAATTTTTTTGCTTGTTAAGGAGCTCACAACTGTTCCTTTTTTACGGTTAAGTTAGAGCGTAATTTTATAAAAGATCTTTTCGTGTATTAAATAATAACTTTAATCTTTAAGTGAAGCCAGAGATCGAAGCCGATTTTTTCGGCTTAACCTTAACCATCCTAAGGTTTAAACTTAACTATCTTCAAAAAAAAAAATTATCAATAAATTCATCAGTAAAAAAAAATGTGAGACAAAATTGGAAATTATCATTTCTTTAATTTTTAATAGCTACCTGAAAATATCCATTTTTATTTGTAAGATTTGAGTTTCAAAAATACGTGCTGAAGTGGAAAAATTGTTTGAATCATTGCAAGCAATTTTTATGCATAATAAAAACATTATTCTTCTTAATTTTTTTTATTCTATAGAACATATAAATCTTCTTTCCAGTTGTACGTTAATAATTTTCTTTTGCATTTTTGAGCAATTACTTTTTTTAAATAAAAGACCATATGTAAATATGTTTTAAAATCCCAACTACAGTATTAAATAATTTACAACAAAACTATATTTTTGGCAGGTTTCAATATTTAGTTTATACCTTATTATATTCATCATTGCACAATAATATAGTCCTTATCAATATTCATCAATATGCTCAAACTTCTGCTCATATAAAAAAATTATCTATGAACATTTGCAAAGAATATATTTGAGTCTTTCCACATCCGTGTCACAAAACCTGCATGATTTTTATATTCACACCGTTTTCACGTGTGAATCTATTGGTTTTGTTCAGATTGAAAAATCAGTTTTTCGCATTTTGTGAGAAAACAAAGCAAAATTGGTTATAAAAGGTCACAGAAGAAAAGTTTGTGCCTGAAATTTTACATCATTTTTAAAAAAACAGATTTCAAATTGGTTGTGGCATTGCTGAGAAAATCGCAAAATACGCTTTCTGTAAGCAAACAAGCAAGCAAGCAAGCAAGCAAGTTAATCAGCAAGAAATCTCAATAACGAGACATTGTAGAGACTTCTAGTTTTTTACATTTGATCCGTGCTGCTCTATAGAAGAGCTGTATTGTTTTTAGGCAAGGTAGGAACAGCCGTTGCTTCAATAAAAGCAAAAAACTTTCCATTCTTACGAATTTTTCAAATTAAAAGTTCACTGTGATTTTTTTTTATTTTAAATTAAACTTTGGATGAAAAAAATTTTTTTGAGCAAAGAACCAAGTAGGAAATACAATTTCAATTATGAACTTGGGACAGGTCTAGTCAAAATATAGTTTTTTCACTTTTTTTCTTCGAAGGTTTATCCAATTACAGTGAAACTTTGTGTGAGTTAACTACTATTTAAACAAAACAGTTTTAAATATCTAAAGCAAGAAATGTATTCTATATGTCGTCAGACCCAAATTTTATAAATATGGTTGTGCATTCAAAAACAACATGACTTAAAATTTGTCCAAAAAAATGATTTTTATTAATTCAGAAATGTGTTACCTGAAGATTAGAATGCTCATACAAAGTTTTACTGTAATTGGATTTATCCTCGAAGAAAAAAGTGACAAATTTGATTTTGACTAGGGTCGCCTCTAGTTCATAATTGAAAATGTATTTCCTACTTGGTTCTTTGCTCAAAAAAATTTTAGGATGTTTTATTTGTATTTGGTTTAAGCACTAGAATATTTATGCAAAGTTTCAATCCATTTGGATAAACCCTCGAAGAAAAAAGTGACAAAATTGATTATGACTAGGGTCGCCCCTAGTCAAAAATTGAAAATGTATTTCCTACTTGGTTCTTTGCTCAAAAAAATTTTAGGATGTTTTATTTGTATTTGCTTTAAACACTAAAATATTTATGCAAAGTTTCAATCCATTTGGATAAACCCTCGAAGAAAAAAGTGACAAAATTGATTTTATTAGGGTCGCCCCTAGTCCAAAATTGAAAATGTATTTCCTTCTTGGTTCTTTGCTCAAAAAAATTTCAGGATGTTTTATTTGTATTTGTTTTAAGCACTAAAATATTTATGCAAAGTTTCAATCCATTTGGATAAACCCTCGAAGAAAAAAGTGACAAAATTGATTATGACTAGGGTCGCCCCTCGTCTAAAATTGAAATTGTATTTCCTACTTGGTTCTTTGCTCAAAAAAATTTTAGGATGTTTTATTTGTATTTGCTTTAAACACTAAAATATTTCTGCAAAGTTTCAATCCATTTGGATAAACCCTCGAAGAAAAAAGTGACAAAATTGATTATGACTAGGGTCGCCCCTAGTCTAAAATTGAAATTGTATTTCCTACTTGGTTCTTTGCTCAAAAAAATTTTAAGATGTTTTATTTGTATTTGGTTTAAGCATTAAAATATTTATGCAAAGTTTCAATTCATTTGGATAAACCCTCAAAGAAAAAAGTGACAAAATTGATTTAGACTAGGGTCGCCCCTAGTCTAAAATTGAAATTGTATTTCCTACTTGGTTCTTTGCTCAAAAAATTTTTAGGATGTTTTATTTGTATTTGTTTTAAGCACCAAAATATTTATGCAAAGTT